CTTTACAAGCTATGTTATCACTGGCGAGAAGCATAATTTGATAGCAACTACCACAGCAGCTCAAGTCTCTCTGAATCCAGACTGCCATTATCCTGCTCTTCATCTCTGCTTCAGGCAATGTATTTCCACTCCCTCTCATACGCTGTCCCCAGCACTTTTGTAACTGGGAGCTGTTGCAGTTGAATCACATACGTGTGTGATTCCGCCCCCCGTGTTAATTCCTAACTGAGCCACCTCACCCCCCCGTCACAGATGTGCTGCTGGCCACGAAAGGTATGCATGAGAATGCACAGCTCCCAGGAGCAACATCTTACATACATCCCTATACTCAGTACTGCCTGGTTACCTAGTTTAGCTAGTTTGCCGATTTAAAACAGATCTCGTGCAATTCTCTGCATGGATCCGTTAAGAGAGCCTAGGTGACTAACTTCAGGCTCAGTATTTTACTGCAGAGATTGGGATACTTGAAAGCTTATTTTTACAGCACTACACTCTTTTGAATCTAGGTTGTAGCTTCTGAATCAGGGTTAGAGTGAGTTAGAGTTCATTGTTTAAAACCAGAACTTACAACCTCAGGCAAATCACCTAAACCCACTTAACAGAAAGTTATTAAAAAATCATGGCTTATGGGTATGGCTGCTTAAAAAGGAGAAGGATTATAAATTTGTTGTCAGAAGAAAACTGTAAATGAAAAGCTATTTGCAATGGATAGCTATGAAACGGGAACTGAAAAAATTCCTGTGCAGTGATATTCACTTAATTTCATTTATTTTTAAATTAAGGTGGACATGTAAATAGGTAACTTAGCTCAGTGTACTTTTTAAAAAAGCCCAGGAGTAATAGTTTATTTGCTTACATTGAATAAACAGAAACACATTACTAAAACTTAAATGCATTTAATATGTTGCTGTTTCTATGAATGTTTATATATATATAAAATTAGGTATTTTATATTAAAATTTTCAAGTGGGTACTAATGTTTTTATGGAACGCTCCTAGCTAACAATAATGTTCCTCTGTGGGAGGAATTTATAAGTCAAGCTAGTGGTAAAAATTAGCATTACCCATTCAAGATTAAAGCACACCCCCATGTATTTAATTGCGTGTGTAAGAAAAAGAACATAATATATCTAAGGGCACCATCTGCCAACAAGTTCAGGGTGCCAAATGCTTTCATGGATTTTCAGATATAGGGAAAAATACTCTATGTTCAAACCTTACATATATTAGAAAACATTCATATTAGTTTTGGCTTGATTTTAAGGGGAGTTCAGTCTTTGTATTGCTACAAATTAGTTTTGTTTCAGATTCATTTTTGAATAGTGAACTTTTGGTCTGATTGTTTTCCTTCTGCAGGTATTAGTCTGAAGTTCTTTTGCTAGAAACTGTCTTGAAAGTGTCCTCAGTGGGACAAGAGAGCAAGACACATCATTATGTAAAGAATATGACGCAATGTCAAATCAAAGTGAAAAATTCCTCTATCATTTTCTTCCCATTTTATTTCAATGCATCCTGTCCTGGTTTTGGCTGGGATAGAGTTAATTTTCCTCCTAGTAGCTGGTACAGTGCTGTGTTTTGGATTTAGGATGAGAATAATGTTGATAACACACCGATGTTTTAGTTGTTGCTGAGCAGTGCTTACACTAGTCAAGGACTTTTCAGCTTCCCATGCCCTGCCAGCAAGAAGCTGGGAGGGGGCACAGCCAGGACAGCTGACCCAAACTGGCCAAAGGGATATTCCGTACCATGGGACGTCATGCTCAGTACATAAACTGGGGAAAGCTGGCTGGGGGGCGGTGACCGCTGCTTGGGAGCTGGCTGGGCATCGGTCGGCGGGTGGTGAGCAATTGCATTGTGAATCACTTGGTTTGTGTATTCTTTTATCATCATCCTTATTATTTTCCCTTCCTTTTCTGTCCTATTAAATTGTCTTTATTTCAACCCATGAATTTTACTGCCCCCTCCCCTTGATTCTCTCCCCATCCCACTGAGGGGGGCGGGGAGTGAGCGATCGGCTGTGTGGTGTTTAGCTGCCTGCTGGGTTAAACCACAACACATCCTTATCCTGATATTTAGGTGGAAAAGAAGAGATCAAATAACTACAGTAACCAGGCAGTATGACCAACAACCTGCTGCAAGTCACTGTTAAATAGTGTTTCTTTTTCGTCAGGCTGATAACTTTCTATGTCATACAACACAAGAATCTGCAGTGGAAGTAATTTATATTGACTTACTGCCAAAATGTACAAGGAGAGAAACTGCCAATGTGATCTTAAACGTCAGAAGAAGATTAGCAGGGAGCAGCTTGCGGTACAGGATGTTCTACTGGGAACTAGGAATTTGTCAGAGCTCAGACAAAAGTTAGTTAGTACCACAAAGCTACCCAAAGCTGCAGGTTTAATAGTCACCATTTTATCACCGTTTACAGCTGGTCTGGGCATCAGTGGGCAGTTCCTAAGCATCCACTGAGTATCTTCTTACATTATTACAGGTTTCTTAACTTACAGAAGAGAACAAGAGCTGTTTTTACAAAAAGCCTTCATTTACACAACATTTCACATAATTTAGTTGCAGCATACACATTTTCTCTGCTGCCAGGAATCTGGCGGATTTTGAATAAGGTTTTATTCTGCACAGCAACTGCTGCCTATCCGAGGGGTGCCTCTATAGCAGATGGCATGTCCACTACCCTGCTTTGTTTTCACCTGTCTGTCCTTGCACTTCCAGCTCTTTTATACAGACTTCTGTGGCAGAAAAGCAAAGCTCGCTAAAGAAATGACCAAAAGAAGCAAAAAAGTCTATTTTTTTGTGATGGTGAGATGCTCTAATTCAAAGCACTTGTACATTCATGTTATGCAAAAAAAGATTTTTTTTATGACAAAAGAATTTGAATGATATACACTGCAAAGAAAATTAGTTTCAAGTGCATTTATTTTGAAATAAACAAGAATATTATATGCATGTATTCACATTTATATTAAATAACTTATTATTAAACATGAGAAAAAATACTCTTAAAAACTAATCTGACACTTTCACATTCTATTTTATATTAAGTGACTATAGTAAGGAAATACATAGAAAAATGATAAAATTGTCTCAAGCCAGCCATAAAAGCAAAGTGCACTATTGCCTAGGGCAGGGGAGGAGCAAAACGAGGATGGTGCTGCTGCTTCCTCCAAGGGGAGGATCACTGAGAGTGGGCAGTAGTGAACGAAGAGGAAGGACGGGCACCCCTTCAGTAAGTCCCTATCCTTTCTTCCCATTTTTTGTCCTTCATCACTGAAGTAGCAAATTGGGTTTTGCATATGCTGACAAGAAGCAGTGAGACAGTTCTCCGTACCAAGACGATACATTGAATACAATTAATTCCCTAAATGATCACACAGGGATTGCAGCTTATCCACGTTCTATTGTGTCTTTATCCTAATTTATCTGATTTTTCTTGTTGTCGGTAGTTTAAGGACGCCAAGGTGGAAATTTGCTAAGTATTTATCATGAAATATTGACGAACGTAGCATCCTTCAAAAGCTTTCTGAACTGGCTTTTTCTCAGATAAAAGCCACACCTAGCACATTTTTTTCCTAAGATTCCCAGAGTGGAATCTCTTAAAAAACATCTTCCTTTTAATTGTGTTTTGATTTTTAGCACAGATGAATCTTCTTATAAATTAAACGTTTCTAAACTTAGGTGTACTTACAGAGATGCTATATATCTTTTCTATTCACGTGCAATTGTAAGATGGTATTTGAGCAACACGTGCACTAAATACAATTCTGAGAAGTTTGCTTACAGGTATTTGGAGTAATAAAAGATTTAAAACCATTATTTTGGTTCTATTTTAATTGTCAGACTCCACCAAATATTTGCCTTTCTGATAACAATTTATTGACATTAGTTTTAGTGTGTGTGTATTCAGCTAGAAATATTTCAAGGCACAGATTGTTCCTAAATACATACAGATTTATTTAATGTCCAGCGAACCTTTTCAAGAAGGATATAAGAAATATGTGTTCGTGTTTGTTTGGGTTTAATTCACACCACCTAACAATCACCTTGAAAGGGAGTAAGGAAAAACGCTGCTGCTGAATAGCGAAGAAAAAGTTTAGAGAATATGAAAACCAAATTCAACACCGTTTCTGTAACATCTAAACCTACAGGGCATGAAAGGTCATGGTGGCTACTGATTGCCTGTAGTCTCCATAAACTTTGTAAGGCCTAATTTATGTCTAATATTTGATGCATAATATTCAAATAATATTACTTAGTGAGTGTTGCTCTGTACCGCTGCATGCATTCATGTTTTGTTTCGGTTTTTTGTTTGACACAAACACAAGTTATTTATCTATTTTTCAGATACCGCATTCCAGAGTAGCAAATTAAACAACTGTAATTTCTACTCAGTGCCACATTTGACTTCATATAAAAGTGCACTATTCACAATAAACACGTGAAGTTTTACTCTACCAGAAATATATCAGTGAATTTATATGTATGGCAATAAAATTTACAATAAATATTACAAAGTGTGTGTTGCTTAACGTGAATTTGAACATTTTGACTTTTCTTCAACATACTGCTCCCAAGACATCTTAAAATCTGTATTATTCTTTTAAAAAGATAAATTAATAAACATAATAGTAAGACTTGGAGAATCTGAACATTATAGTCCATACAGTACCTTTCCTAGGTAAGTACCTATCATTCACATTATAACCGTAACAGCTTTACTCTTTTTAAAGTAACAGCTTTGTTAGCTTCTAAGAATTTAATTTGTACGTTCAACTCGTATATCATTGTTATGCTACTTAGTGTGTTCTCATTCCCAATTTAGCACAAACTTTTAATAGTGCTCTTCTGAAAGCAAGTTCACAGTCTAAGCTGCTGTGGGGCAGTTTCTCTTCATTGCCAAAACGTTTGCCTACCCAGGTGTAAAACTTATTTTTGTTTTCTTTTAAATGACAAACATCTCTCAAAATAATAAAAAATAATATTCAAAATGTATTGTTAAAAAAAAAGACTTCTGCCAATCAGGTGGTAGTTTGGCGTTTAAATAAAATACATACTTAAAAGCAGTTGTAAGAGTTGATGATCACTACATTAAGTGGGAAAGAAGTCCTGTGTTTTATACTGCACCTGCAAGATTCACGATTCACCTGGGTTAGTTTGTTCTTCATTAAGAATTCATAGGAATAAATAGTTCTAGCCAGTGCAGATAATCCTTCTTTCTTCCTTTATCTCAGCATATCTCGTCTCCGAAATTGCTTCCATAGATCTCTGAGATGTTCACTGGTTACGGTCATCACGCAAGAGTAATATTCCTTCCAACCATACTTTGGAGTCTCCTGTGAAAAGTGAGTAACATACAATTGGAAAAAGATATCGTTCACTAAATTCCCTAATATTACATTAAATTTGACTCACACTCATACAAACTAGATATATGTTTTAATATTAAAATAATGAAAGATCAAATACTTCTATGGCTCAGAAGTACTTCTGTAAAATGAGGGTTATAAATCCATACACAGGTTAAATATTCAGAATGCATCCTCACCTCACAGCACACGGTTAGCATTCAACAAATAGCCTACGTATATTAAAAGCTGTAAGAAAGGATTTCCTCTTTATTCAGGTATGTACTGCTCGCTCTCTAGTTTTGTTTCTTGCTTCTTCATGTTGACACTGTACTAAAAAATTCACCTCTAACACCAAATAAAAAGCATAGAAAATTATTGATGTTCATGAAACTGAGGCATTAGCAAAAACCACATACAAAATAGGCAGATGCTATGAAAGCTTCTTTATACTAGGTTACCTTAATCCTAAACTGCACTGTAGTTCACTGACATTAATAAGTGCCCACTGAATGGAGAGAAATATCGTCCAAAGGCTGGCCTGGGAGATTCACTCTGTAGTTATCACTGGATCTCATTATTTCTTCTGCTATTCCTAACTTCACAAGCCCGTTTTGATAGTAAGTATAGAAAGATGGAGAGGGGCTAAATATTACATCAACTGGGGGGAGAGGCTAAGTAAAGAACAGGAATTGTAATTGTAGATAAGTCAGAAGCACTTACAAGTAATTTTAAATTGTAATCCATCTTAGAAATTAAGTCCAGTATCTAGAGGTAAACGGTTACAGTGTCAAGGTGAGAGATTGGTTGAACCGAGTGAAGAAGTTAAAAATATTGCGACACGGCAGTATATTAAAACCAACCATTAGAGACTGAAGCCTACATTTCATTTATTCTTATTACTCATCTTGTATAATTAAAAAGCATAGAACATTATGCAGAAGTTGTAAATATTCAGAAAACAATCTAATCCACAGCAGTATATAATCCAGACTTGAAATGAAATATTAGAAACAATACTTACATGAATGCATAATTTTGTTGAGATTTATGGTCAATCTTATGAAAAAAAATGCATTACTTGCAAAATGCATTGCATTATTTAAGAAAAGCACATTCAGTTGCTTAACCAGTGCTTTGAGATATAAATTTTTTATTTTATGAAACAGGTTCAGAGAAACGTTCATGAAAATCAGTAAAAGAAACACTGAAGTACATTAACTGTTCATCTACTTCTTTCTAACGTATGCATTGTTGTTGTATCTACTCTCAGTGTACCAAATCCACAGAAAGAACATTTTGTCCACATACTCTGCAATGCTTTCACATTTCAATGGAACATTTTCCTCCCACCGTACCCAGGTTATGTTTTTAAGGTTCTAGTCAGTTTTAGGATCAAAAGTCTGGGTTCTGTAATTTCCAGTTACTTTTGTAAGATGAGTCAGTAAGGAGTGCCTATAACACACTTCCCACTTTATTTGCTTTAGACAAGAGGTAAGAAACAGTCTCTTCAACTAGTAAGCAACAGCCTCTTCAGTTTTTTTTTTAAAGCTCTCTTATGATAGATGTATTCAACTGCTGTATAGTAGGGAAGTATGGAAATGAAAAGCTTTCAAAATACTAACTACATGACACATCTTAATGTTGCTTGACTGAACGAAGTATTTATAGGAGACAGCAATTTATTGTTGAAACATGACTAGCAATGAGGTTCTGAGTCCATGCTTGAGTCTTTCACGTCTTTCTCAAAGTGAAATTTCCTTCCCCAATCAGTCCCAAGACTCTGTTTGTAGCTATTAACTATTACTTCCTAAAAACCTTTAATCAGAAATTTAGAAGCCCCACAAAATTCAGAACATCTAGAAAACAGTTCTTTTAATGCAAAAATCTTAAGATTTTCAAGAAATTACTGGGACTTAAAACTTATTTTCTAGATTTACAATTATGACATATAATATTTATTTTCAGTACTTTAGAAGTGACCAAAATTGGAATTATAGCTTAAGTATCTACTACAGTTACTGAGCGCACAAATAGTTTAGCAAACAGTACTTTCAGAGGGACTTGAATCCCTCCTGAAGTTGGCCTCTAGCATCCTTCTTCGGAAATTAACTTTGAAAGGGCTTCCTTAGAAATTTCCTAGATAACGCTTCCATAAGCCATTCGAGGCCGAGTTCTCCTCTCAGCTCTGTTAGGCAGTTCTCTGCTAAAGTGGTTTTTTCTGCTCTCCCTGCAGTGTATGCAAAGGAGTGTCCGCCGATGCGGAGTCAGGCTGTGTGCTCTGCAGGGAGAGCAATGCAGAAAGACAAGCTCTCCAAGAACGTTGCCAGCTGTTTGGACCACACAGAGCTTGTACAGTTGTTCCCCAAGGAGAGATTTTGATTATTTATTATAAGGGTATAACATTCTTTACGCTGTTAAATAAATTGCGTTACTGCAATTTAGAGATACATAATGTACAGCACAACGTGCTGTTTATCCCTTTTCAGGGTGCAGATTCACACGAAGTATGGTATAACCTATGGTACGTCTGCCAAGCATCTTAATCTCTTTCATCAGAGTTCTACCACAGAGTTTACCACAGAAAGTATATCAAAGCACAGACAACGATCTGTACATTTATATTTGGAACAAAGTAAAATCAAGAGTTATTGTATTGCACCTAACTTTGGGATGTAATTGCAGCAGATTTTTGTATTTCACATACATTTATGTGTTTTTTCTGTACATCAGACAAATTTAATTACCCAATTAAAATTGTTCAATTTCAAATCACCAATGACTCCATCTTTATTATCTTCTCAGTTTATAAACTAAATAGAAAATTATTATTTTTAGAATTATGTAAATTCACTTTCCCTCCACACTGTACGGCAAAGACAGAATTAGTTCTGTTCTCCTCCACAGTAACTAACTCCAAATCACTTCACATGTGTTTCGGCTAAAGTTTCCATTGCCGTTACCTGACACTTGCAACAAACTTTAATAAATATTTACAACAAATTTGAAGAAATACCGTAAGTTAAGTAACACTTTGCACAAAAAAGAACTCAGGATAGCTAACAACTGGATATGTTACTGTAATTCATCACGAGACAAGGATCAGTTGCTCAAGCAAAGAGCAGTAGCTGACTGATGTGCCTGCAGGGACGAGGGAATTTTATATATTTGAGGTTTACAGTGCATTCTTGAGTGCACAGGGAAGAGGTATCTGATACAGACCTTGGCAAGCTTAGGTACCAGAAGCGTTCTCGTTACAGCATCCAGGAGCTCCAGGTGGGAAGAAGAGCAGGGTAAATAAACAGCAACCTCTACACTATGTCAGTGAGGCTGCCTGTGGCCAGGTCAGTGCACTAAGAACTAACCTGGTTTCTCTGTCTGTCTCCCAGTGCGTAGTGTAGACATAGTATTATTCAACTTTAATTTTTTTTTCTTGAGAATGACTTTATACAGAGTGAACAAAATCTCCCTTTACAAATCTCCACTGTGTATTTTTCTCCCAGTTTACTCCATCTCAAAAGATGAATGAATGAATTTATTGCCTGAATTCAGATCTCTGTCAAGGTGTCGATATATGTAAACTTGATGCTTTCACCAGTGTCTCTCTTTTGTCACCAAGCTAATTCTATTAGGCTTGATGATTAGATATTGGATTCTTTTGGGTCACTGTATTTTATTACACTTGGTCACATACCCTTCACTGAAATTATTAGGAAGGCATCATGACTGTATAGCATTTTGCCAGTTTCCTGTAAAAGCTGTTCTGTATCTTGAAAAGTTTACAGTTTAAACAATACTTGATATGCAACTACAATGTAGGTTGTAGCAGAATTAGTGGGGACAAAAAGACAAAATACTCCTAAAATTATTTTTAAAAAGGCATGGGAAAAGAAGAAAGGAAGTTTTGAGAGTCAAAAGTTTCAAAGAAATGAAGTTACATGAAATTAATCTAAAGCCATGAATTTCCTCTGATGTGACTGGTGAGTTGGATTACTAAAATGTTGGTTTAACTATTTAATTAGTCATTTACATTTCCCAGTACACATTCCCACTTCCCAGAAACCAGATGCTTTGTTTGTTAAGACCGAATTTCCTTTTCTGTTCCTCACGCATTAGTACAATGCTTCAGTATTTGCATTATAAAGCAGAAGTATAATTTAAAAAATGTTAATAGTTAATCAAAATAATAAAGAAATAATCCTATGGATGCTAAATGTTATGTGTATGAGAAGAGTGTATGCAGACCAAATGGAACTCGTCTTCTTTCTAGGAGGACAAATCAGCCTGCATAAGCCTGGACATACCCCAAGCCATCTTTACTGCTGAATTTCAAAGAACCAGCCTGTTCAAAAGATGTGACACTTCATGGAAAAAAAAATGGCATGAAGAGTTCTAAAGAACACAGTTTGGGGTACATGACATGCTGTGCCATGGGAAGAGGTCAATAGTTTAGATATACTCCCTCTCCCTTACCTATCTTGCACAGAGATCTACAAAAGGAAAACATCAGTGGGACTGGTGAGCTGGTGGGCTACCAGTCTGGGTAAATGGACCCCACCTCTCGTCCTTACAGACTTAGATTGTCCACTGTGCTGGAAGCCAGCTATCACCCCAGGTAAACAGGATCCAAGAAACTTCTGCTTAGTGTACCTACATTCCTCACTTTCCTGCCATGCCGTTTCAGAGTTAGGGAAGAAAGATTTAAACCAGAGGCCCAGCACGCTCAGTGGCATACAAGTGCGCAGAGAGGCATATGAAGATGGTTATTCGGCAAGAAGTCTCAGCTTAATGTTGTGCCTCAGAATTAAAAACATCAAGGGAACGACAGTCAAACCCTCCTGGCTCAGAAGCATGAGATGTGCTGGCTACTCCACAAGGTCCCCTCACACAGACCAGTGGCCACGGGGCCTTGTTTGTCACGGTGTACATCTCTTTGTTCCTGCAGAATAATACATCTGGGACCTACATGGGCTGTTAACAGCCTTCATAGCAACTACTGCAAAGTCTATAAACAGGAAAAAAGTGCTGGCACCAAAACCTTAAACTGCAAAGGAGCAAGCTCTTGCTTTATGTAAGAAAAGAAATAACCTACTAACACATTTCTGCTGTGTCCACCGTGTGACAAACAGTTTTACAATATGGCTACAGAATATGCACACCCCAGTTTTTATACTGAAACCCACAGTACAATCTAATTGTAAAGATGGATATTCATGTAGTGGATACGCAGAAACAGCCATGGTGGTCACGTGTGGGCACAGTGCCCATTTTTGAAAATTGCTGGTATAGCATTAATCGAGCCAAAACCACATTATTGTTTTCAAAAGTGTAACTGTATAAATCAAAGTAGAATGAAGTTACTAACAGTCTCTCAGGAAGAAAAATCTGCCTCTACAATCTTCATTGGTAAATACTTATTAGCTATAGGTACCTGAGAAATTATTTGAAAAGTGGTCACAAGACAGACAGAAAACAGCAACAGAAACTATGAAAGAATACTTTTCCTGATTTCAAACATAGTACAAAATAGCAGCTGGCTTACAAAACAGTGACAGTGTGAGTCAGCCATTGCCAACTCCAGAATAAACTTCTGTTGCTTCAGTCAAAAACACAACGTGATGCTTTGAGCTACTACATTGCTTACAGTCAGATAACCTATTCCTGAATTTTGGAACGGGAAACAAAGCAGTGACAGTTTAACATTCAGCCATTCCTGCAAGCACGCCAGCACAGTCAGACTAGGCGGCTAACACATACCGTCATTTATCTGCTATAGAGCTCCTTCCTCACGCAGGATTTGAAAGTAGTATACCTCTGTATAGGTTTGTAGCCCTGTGGAGCAGAAGATGGAGAAGTGCGCAGATGCAGACAACATGTGAAGGCAGCCAGAGGTAAGCGTAAGACAACGGTATCATGAAAATACAAAAAAATGGCTTTAAGTGACGAATAGCTAGAAGATACAATATAGTATGTGCTAGGTAAAATGTTTATCATTAAGTTCCAAATCTTTCAGTTTAAAAATGGAATTTATAAAGGAAAGGGAATCTTCTTATGTATTTCTAAATTTAAAAAAAAGGAAAGGAAATAACTATTTAAAACCAAACAGCACGCAAAAATAAAGCTTTTCATGTCTGCACATTTTAGTAAGTTTATGGCAATACTCTGACTGACCGCTTGATGGCAGCTTAATACACTAGTTTGTTTCAAACTACTAAAACCAAAAAAGGTTTCAGATTATAATACTGTAGTCCAGAAAGAGAGAAATTTCATTTGATAAACCCTTTAAGACATTTACTTTTCCAAAAACATATCTAAAATACATGTTAAAATGAATATTTATTATGTTCCTGTAAGGGGTAGTATCTGACCTTCCTCAAGTTTGTAAGTTTATGGCTAAGCTTTTAAATAGGACAAAGCTGGTAGGTACTGACTGCCCTTTCAGAACTCCAGTTTCATTGGACTTGTCTAACTCTTTGCTCTTAAATATGTTTGCTTTAGTCAGACTATATAAATACAGGATGCCCTTTTCTAAAATACATGGCCCTAGTACCAAGCTCTGTGATGCCCTCAAAGATTCTTCTGGGCAAACGTTTTAGTAAAACAACTTTTAAAAAAGTTGAATTACTAAGTATAAGATGTTAATTGTAAAATCATACTTCAAATCATAGGCCTATTTTAAACTGTTATTTTTAGATGCTTTTAGAGTGATAATCAGAGACTACACTGATTTGGGCAGACGTTAATTGTAGGATACCTAACATTAAAATCAGGCATTTACACTTTATAAACAGGTTCAAATTTCTTACGGCAAAAATTTCCATGTTGCTACAAAATACTGCATAAGCAGAAGCTATAATGTTCTTTTATCTGTATAATGGAACTGACCAAATCTTAATATGGATTCGAAACACAGTTATTAACAAAGAAAAGGTTAGTGATTTGTTAGTTTTGATTTAGCACAAGACAACATTTGAGCCCTCCACACTGTAGGAGCAAGAGGGTAAACTTTTACTTGTTCTGGCCACACTAAATACTGTATAAATTTTAATGTACAAACAACAGGAAGCAATTAACGACGCTTTCTGCCAAAAGGTTCTTAAGTGTTTTCTTCTCTTCATTCTAAACCAAGATTGGGGTGGCTGGGGGGTGTTTATTAAACTGAAAAGGCAAATTTTTGCAGAGTTTTTACTACTACCCACACTTGGAAACATCAGGTTTGTGCGACACTTATGAAAACTTACTGGAAATTGTAATTCCTAAGTTTGATACTGTAATTGTCTTGGAATACTTCTGATTAGAGAAGAGAATGCATTTTTCTGAATATTCTAACAAGTCTGCATGTAGGCACGTCTGAATATAACTGAATTATAGGACCAAATCATGATCATCTCCTATGCAATCCAGGAGATATATCTAATTAAAATTAGACATATCATTTATGAAAGACTGGTATTCTTCTGAACATCCTTGGCTATTCTTTATAGTTCATTTACAGTCCACTGGAATATTTTATACTGGCCTAGGCAAAAGAAAGATACGTGCATAAGACTGAATAGTGCTGGATGACATAGATTCTTAAGGATTATATGTAATTTCTGTTATGCATTTTGTGAAATAGAAACGTGTAATACATTTACAAGAATTACTTAGTAAGCAGACTGTTTTCTGGTTGAATTAACATACACTGCACACTTACAATTAGTAAACAATTAAAACATATAGCTGAACATCTTGAAACGGTTATGAAACAATCATCATTCCCACACTATAATAAAAGAAATTGAGGACCAACAAGGAAGTAAGTTTGTTACAAATACAGTGGTTGTTATCCACATTTTACGTTTGATCATAATATTACAAAAATAACAAGAAAACAATTAGACTCAACACCACTTCACAGAGAGTTCTAAAATTATATTTAGGAAGCTAACTAAAAATGACTAAAATTATATTACAGAAATAACATACTGAAATGTGAATTTAGGAACCATAATACAGTTTAAGATTTATGTCTAAGGGATTAGGTTGTCAGTAAGAACAACATTTTACATTTAGTTAAAAATGTTAACACCTGTCATATGAAGAAAAAAAAAAAAAGGTCATTTTTATTGATCATACTCTAATTAAAAATTTTTCTGCTACTATAAAATTCCCCTGTACTACTCAGAACCTGAAGAGGGCAGCAAGGCCTATACGTTCACCTAAAAGGCAAAGCATGATTTACAAACTTGTTCCCTATGAAAATTTTCTGCAAGTGATTTCCTACCCTCTAGCTTCTTGTAATTTAATGTATTAGATACAGGGTTAAATTATCAAACGCAACTTTGAACTAGAATATAGCATTGTTCAGCACCACTTAACTAATTCTTTACTTGAAAATTAAAACTATCTTCTGCTGCAACTCTTTCCAACAGTCATTATCAACACTTGGTATTTTAAATAATGTTTTAGAAGAGCCAATAGTTGACCTTTAACTAAACTGCCTGAGTTTGAGAGACAAAAACTCTCTTTTCCCTGGAAACAACCCAGACATAATTGCTACCCTTGTTAAAATTCTTAATGCCGATCTGTCACTCACACAATACAGAGGAAATGACAGTATGCAGAGGACTTCTCATCTCCAATTTGGTTTGTGTACTATAAAGGTACGTCATGTCCTCTATGTATTGCTTTCTAATAAAATCAAGAATTTAAGAAGGAATTTATCTTACAGACTGCTTCAGGATTTCCGTAAAACATATGTCTTTAAACATACGCACTGTTGGTTTGCAACCTACTGGTGCTACAGGTGCTAAAGTAAGTACTGGTAAGTAGTGAAGTCAACTAAGATAACTATAAAAATTAGAATCCTTACCCTAAACCCTCGATTGAGTCTGTCTTTCATAATGCCGATAAATTCTTTGTAACTCAACTGGTCATCTCTGTCAACATCAAAAATCTTGAACACTGTGTTCACCAAATGTGGTGAAAGCTTCACACCTGTGGCTACATACACAGCACGTTTGAATTCATCTGCATAAAGAGAACATCAGTAGAAAAAATAAAATACATGAATTTAATCCTACTTTGTGGACAACATGTTATGAAATACAAGTAAACTTTTAACTTGAGTTTTCATGTTAAAACACTCGATTAGGATTGAATTTCACAGTTCTAAACCAAGTAGTTCTGATATATCAACTGATATAAAATGAAACAGCTTAATTGGTATCAATTATTTTACACAAAAGATAACAGTCCAAATATTATACTATGTGTAGTAACAAAATTAGAAAATCATATTATAATTAAACCTATGTTACATATATACTGATGGCATCTACTTAATCGACACAAAACAGAACCTAAGAAACAGAGCACAGAGAAAATAGTACACTCCTTTGGTAAGGCCGCATGCGGTAGGACTACGCTGGTGTTACTGTGTCAGACCCATGAAGATACTATTTGAGAGCACACAAATCTGACCACTTCACATATTCGTAACCTTGCACTCCCCAAGCATCTCAACTGTTGTATTAAGGATTTTAGTCAGTACACACCTGCCTAGTTTTTTCAGCACCCACTTACTGATTTGTTCAAAAATCTGTCTAATCCCTCTTCGGACCTTCTGACGCTGTTTCCTTCTACAGCCTTCATAGAAGGCCAGATTCCAGACGCCCACTGTGTAAAGAAATGCTTTTGTTTGCTTTAAACTGATCTCTTATTGGTGTCATCAAGTGCCTCTTAACTCTTGAATTTTAGGATTTGGTGACCAACTATTCCGCATTCAGCTTATCCACCACTTACATGACTTTGTAAAGCTTTATCATATCTCTCATGATATGACCGAGCCTTCTCCTCTCAAAGCTGGAGTCCTAGCCTTTTTAGCCTTTTACCTTAGACATTAAAACTACAAACTAGGAATTACAAAACATTTTTGTATTTTTGTCAACACTTCTGTATCTTTATCAACAGATTTTTATAAAAATGTGAATACTTACCTTGACCTATAGAACGACTTGCAAAATTATACATTTGCATTGCAATTGTAAAGTCTTCTAGGTTGTTCAAGAATTGGAAAAATGATCTAAACTCATCAAATGTGATACCCTAAAAAATAAAAGAACAATATGCACCATAAGAATGATCAGTAGTGATGACAACTGAATAAATAAACCTTGCAGTTACATATGTCTACTTCATTTAAGAATAGATACTACACCCTTTGAAAAAAAAAAGATTTGTACTGAAAGTCAATAAAGTAAAGAATTGGAGTCTCCTGAGGAATGCAAGATGTCTTTCCTCTTTGCCACTGCAACGGATAGCAATTCTCACCCAAAAAGCAGTCCAAAATATTGTTCCATTGCTCAAGGCAATCTGTAAGAATTCCAGGATTATTACAATACGGCAGTTAGTATTGAGAATAAGAGTCTAGGTTTGTATGAATACTGGAATATGTTTACTACTGAAAACCTGCAAACCACTATTATATATATGTGAGTGTGTGCGCTCACATAAATACATTGAATGAATTCATAAATACATGTTATGATCTGACTTAAGCTCTGTACTTTAAGGTGAAGTTTTTACATATCCAGATTTAGACCCCTAGGTCTCTTCAGCTGATACTCCCAAGTATCAAGTATTGCAGGGTTTGTCCAGCTCTTTAAAAAAACCTTTTGCATTTTGACCAGACTTCAGAATATCTTCTGTGAAAGTGTCTCTGAAAGTGCTGTTGTTAAAAGAGCTTATTTTTTCTTCTTTCCTTATGATATCTGTTCTGCTTTTCTCTCATCTTAGCTACAAATCCAAAGACCCGATAAACCATCTCTAAATCAATTTTGAAAGAGACCTTAAACAGAGACTCTGAATTAAGCCAGGACCATTGCCTGTATCTCATTCTCCATGGTCTGTCAGCCATTCTGAACATGGGATGGCATTCTCTGTCAAACCTTGATCTCCCTGGCCTCCTTTAACTATCATTCCTGGCTATTCTTCTGTCTGCTTTTATCCTTCTATCCTATTTAACTATGTCTCTCTGAAAATAAACCTGAAGACAATAGAAAGACCTGTGAATCCTTCTGTTCAAACTAGTATCTTGACCTATGTCTCTCCTCAAAGATATACATAGTCATTATGGTGTGGTGCAACACAGAAAACATACTGAAGTAGGTTTGTGGCAGAGGAGAAAATGGCAGAGGTTGGGTGTAAACCCATACGAGACAGCAAGTACTGTGGTGAATGTGGAGAGAAACATAATATTGTTAAAATAAAAAGACTTCAATAGGCCTCCACCCACTTGAGATGTAAACCGCTGCTTAAGTGATCCTACCTAAGGTCTAGCTAAGATTTAGAAACTGTTTGATTGGAGAGCTTGACCCATCTCCATCATGAATGGCTTTTCTCAACAAGCATATTTGTTCTCTGTTTCATCCTTTGCAATTGGGAGGAAACTCTCAAACACAAGCAGAACCACCTCCTTAACTCTCCTTTAAATTTTATCTTAAAAGCTTAATTTACTAATACTAACCAATACTGTCTTCTTGGTTTGTTGCATTTGACATCTAATTGTTTATGTCCAAGTTCTGTTTCCTGCACTCTGTTTAGACTGAAAACTCTCTGGGACTGGCATAATTTTGTCACATATTTGTGAAATACCTAGATCGGTGAAACTTCAGTCCCCAACTAGGACCCTCAGGAACTACGGCAAAATAGCAATAATAGAAAATGGCCATCAAAGCCTTGAGCTGACATTTTTAGGTTCACAACGATTTTTAAAAATCCTTAATTTGCACCAATTTGTCTGTAAGATTCTGAATGTGGGAGATACTGTAAGAGGTCAGGCTACTGCAAAAATCCTGGCTCTTTCCATGTAGCTAGAGAGGAGATGATCACATTGTACTGTCTCTCTCCTTTCCTAGGACCATATTTTGTTCAACTGGTAACTGTAATAACAACTTGTATTTGCCATATGTTTTGCATTTTGACATAGGAAGTTATCTACATGTAGCTATCCCAGAAGTTTCCTACTGGAAACTATTTATTTTCTATGTAAAAGGAAACTGACTTTTTATTTATTTGGACAGATTATATTTTACTACAGCAAAGAAAACTGTTATATTAATGCACCAACGCTGTTAAAAATGCATAGACTTTCTTTAGAAGCTGATATTTGTGTGTTCAGGATGCCAGCTTAAATGAATCACTGCTTGGCATCTAGTTAGTAAAAGGAGGAAAACATCCTGTGAGCAGGCAGCATGCCAGCTGAATATTTTAGCGTGACTACAGTATGCCAAATGATCATCATGTTGCTTTAGAGGCTTCTACATACAGCGCCACAAAAGATTAACATTGCCAACTGTGAGAGTAGCTGCCTATTACTTTACAGGCTAGACTAATTTTTCTTCTAAATGGAATCCTCTGGTTTGTATTAGTATTGCAGCGTATCACTGTAATAAAATAGAGAGTACATTTGGTAATTTTCAAATTGTAATGTTATTGCAAGTGTACAAAAGTGCAAACATATGAACAATGCCTCCATGGCAATAAGAGGCAAAGTCCCATTCTCAAAAGCCTGTGGCCAGTCCAAGAGATGTCACAGGGATTTACTTTTTCCACTGTACTGGCAGCACATTTACAAAGCCAGTGATATGGAGCTATGGAAAATGGCAGTGTCGTTTTACTTAATGGAGGTATAGCATATGGCATACAGATACACGGCACTGGTCAAATGCCAGGATATTCCCAGAACGCAGCATAAGCAAACATGTAACTGAGTGACACAGCTTTCTACGTCGAAGTTTTCCTTAGCTGATGGTCCCATCAGAGATCAGAAGAGGAAACTACTGTGGAAGTCTTGCTATCAGAACAATGGCATTGGAAGACTTAAGAGACGGAGAGATGAACTTCGAAGAATACTTCCTTGTGTTTAAAAGAAAGTGTCTGTATTTATATTTACTTAATCAACTTCACCTTTGCCATTCAAAGAAGTATTTCTCTATACCTACAACTGTCATTATTTTTCAGTTACCCAAGCAATACTTACATCATTGTTGTTATACACGCCTCAAAGTGATTTTTTTTCTTTTTTTCCGAGATTTCCATATATATGGAAATCTTGATTTCACCCTAAACAAAAAACATCTGGGAAACATGCAAAAGGAGCTTTTCTGTTGCACTGTCTTGGCTTTGAATATGGAAAGCTGCACAGACCTTTTAGAGTAGTTAGAACTGAGCGCCTCAGCGGCTAGACCGGGAACGCAGAAAGGGTCAGTGAGCAGGAACTCTGATCCCAATCTTACTGCTTCATCTTACACCTAATCTGGTGAAAAGAGACAGCCCTGCTTTCCCTTTCCACTCCCCAGCTATATTTATCTCTCAGTGGATCTAACTGCTGTACAACCACAGGAAGAATCAGATAATCCAGATATTTGAACAGAAAACTGTTGATTTTTGGAGTGTGTTTCTATCAGGTCAGCTGACTGATCTTACTCTGTAGACTGAAATTACAATGTAATGTCTCAAATAAAAAACACCCCAAACCTGCCCAAACCTATTGATTCCTTTTCTTCACAAGCTCTACTGTCAATGCTATCAAATTATATAGCTACTGAAAGAGTTAGATTTCTAGGACATATTAATCCGATCTCCTTCTGTAAACACAAATAGAAGGAGGATATCCAAAACATCCCTTTATTTGAAGGGCTACTTTTAACGTTATCCTATCGATTACCATTGATGCATAGTTGCCACTACGTTTCTCTCAGATATACTTCTGACAACACATTTGTTGTTAAACAAATGCAGGACTATCTACCTTATGACCTTTACTGTTTTTACTATCTTTTCTATCTCTTCAGCCATTAATAAGAACCACATACCCATCAATGACTATATACAAGTGATCCATTATTAAGACTATAAAACAACAAGATAAAGGGTGTCAATGTTATTTCTGAGGAGGTGCTATTCCATTGGCAGTGCAAAAGAGAAGAAAGAAAAAGAAAGTTTTTTTAATGCCTCATTGCTAGAAAGCTGTTCTTTTTCAAGTCTTATAGTTTTTGCTGTTTAAACTGAATTTTCATGTAATATAAAGCTTTGTTATCTAAACTTCAAAAATATTACTAGCTAAATCCCATGGAATATAATTCTATGCCATTTACTCTTCTACTTTTTATTCAGCAAGTAATCTGAAAAACATGACACACAGTTTATGATCAGAATAAAATCCTGGTGCTAATTAATTCAGTGACAGAATCTCCTTCAGTTCAACAAGGCTATGTTTTCATCTTGATGACACTGGGACTGGATGCTGTGGCCCACTGCTGTCCTAACAAAACAATTACCTTTTCTTCAGGAATCCTGCAGCGCATGTTTTCCAGGTAACTTGATGTATTTTCCACATTCGTATACCTCAAAAGAATATGGGCAAAGTCTTCCTCACTGATGGTGTTCATCCCGTTAGAGTAGGAAAGGAATTCTATCTCTAGAACCTCAGTTTGTAGGTTATCCATAAATCTAAAGCACAAACATAAATATGAAGAAATAGCAATACTTTATATTCCTACTATTCATGTCCTTAAAAGACTCATAGAATATAAAGCCAAATAGCATTATACAAATTAGTTCCCTTTTCGCAGCACTGATGGTAAATTTGGTAAATCCCTTATCTGTGTTGACATAATTTCTAATCAATACAACAATCTTAACTCAAAGATGAAGTGTTTTAGTAAGGATCAAAATGACTTAATACTTACATTTCTAATTTACGTCTAGTTTGTGTTTGCTTAATTTTCTTCTTCAGTGGATCACTGTTCTTTAGTTTTATATGCTAGACTGAAAATTCCATCATGGTACTAAATGAATTCCCAAAATTTATTCCCCATATAGTTACTTACAGATTGCGATTAAACGTTACCTTTCTCTTTTTAACAAGCTAAGTATGATAAGCTCTTGCAGCCTTTCAATTTAAACTTTTTTTTTTAATACTTCACTATTCTTATGATATTTCTTTAAACTCTTCCCAACTTAAGAATATATTTAGTATATTACAGACACCAAAACTGGATAAAGTATAAAACCAGCTATATATAAAAATGAAATATAACTTCCCTGATTCTCCTTGATGTCCTAGTTATACAACTATGGGTGAAATTAGCTCTCTGGTCCCAGTAGTACACTGGGAGCTCACGTTCATCTGATTGTCAACCACAACCTGTAACACTTCCCTGTTACAGATTCCTAAGAGTTCCCAACCTGTAGACATTGCCTGTAACACTCCTTTCTAATATGTAACTTGACTTCTAAGAACTATGGGGAGCTCAAATCAAAAGGAAGTCTAGGCAAAAGTATAAGTGCAAGGTAAACATACAACAGTTATTTCCCTCACCAATCCAGAGTTTAATGATTTTTTGATGTCTGCTAGGTTTTGACCTCTTTAGATCACAACATCTTACAGCAATAGATAGACATTTTAACTAGATGCCTTTTGAAAAAGTAACTTCTTTTCTGGTTCTTGTTTTGAACTCACATCATGATTTCACTTGATGACGCAGTTTTTGTATTATGTGAAATACTGAATATGACACACATAATTTTAAGGCAATATATTTTGCAAACATCTGATTGATTAGAATGCACAGTTAAGTGATAACTATAAAGACAATAGGTATTGGGAGTATTTACTGTGGAAACAATAACCAAACACTGTATCTTTTTCAATCACCCAGAAACATACAGTTTTATGGCTCTGTTTTTATGGCACTCTCCCCATATTTTTAAATTCTATTTTAACTGGCGTAATAATTATGCCAACAGCTTCCACTGTGTTTTCACTTTTTCCCAGAAGAAGCTTGTTCTAAGAAAAGTATCTTCAGAAAAATCTTTACATTTAAGTATATGCCTAAGAGCAGAGATGCACACCAAGCTTTTTTAAAGCACTGACAAACAGGGGAAAAAAATAAAAATAATTCGAAACCAAGAAAAAAATTCCTACGTACCAATAAGGACAGGGTTGCGGTCTAACCTCTCCACCCCAAACAAACTATGCACATAAGTGCTAACAAAATTTGCAAATGCAGCAGCATTAGTACAGGACTTTTTATTGTTGCTCCACTTATTGTTTTATTTTGCTCTTTGTATATATAACACACACAAAGGGAATGTAAACTTTATATACATGTCTGCATAAATTATGTGTATAGTAAGATAATACCAATTAATTAGAACAAGCATGCAAGTATTTTTTTTACAAGGAATTAATAAAGTTGAGACTCACCTATAAAAATCTTCAAAGTTCAGTTCAGCTTTCCCTTTCTTGCCGAAAAAGTGTACAAGCAGTGTAGTATCTGACAGAGAACTTGAAATATCATCAACACGCTTATTAGAATAAAAAAAAAATAAAGGCCATGATTGGATCAGTTACAGAAGTATAATCTGAGAATGCCTGTCATCACAATAGACCTTTCTATTAAAAGAGTTTGTATTTTATGTTCACAGTCTTAAAGAAGACTCTAGTATTAAAATCCATTAAATTAATTTCGTCATGCAATTTTCACACAAAATAGCATTAGGCTGTTAATTGCATTTAGTAGAAAACACTTAAAACAACAATATAATATAATGGAAGCCGCAATGAAGGGGGAAAAGGCATGAAAAATAAAACCAGAAACTCTTGAGAAAAAAAAAAATGTTCTAGTCAGTTGAAGTAAACCATAAAAATAACTCCCTTTGTACACAATCTCTTTTCCCTTCTACTATGCAACTACAAAGAAATTAAAGGAAGTTACTTCATATATTCTTATTCTATATTTCAAAATTATTAAGTATGGGATTGTATTCCAAAACCACTCACATCAGTCAGGTGTACTTTATATGATTCTTTTCTATAAATAGCAGATGACTACAGTTTAAATTTTATTGCCCAAATATATTTAAAGCAACAGAATTGTAAGAAATTTTGAAATCATGAAGTAATACCTTGACTCATTCTCTTAAGAATGTTCCTCATCTACCCAGTATGTGGTCTCTGCATCAGACAGGAATCTCTGAACGTGTACTAATACTTTTTCCTTAATAAATAACTATGAACTTTGAAGGCACAGAATTAGAACAGTAAAACCAACTAATTTTGACCATTTGTAATAGCGAGAGTTGTAAAAAGGAAGACATGCATATAAAGAGAAGTAACTATCATCAGTGTATAAACAGAAGTACCTATCATCTGTGTATAGTGATTGTGCAACGTTCCACTTTTTTACTACATATTCATTACCCTTAACTCTCATGTATATGCATTGTTTTTACCTCTTTTACAAAGAAACTCCTGATACACTGAAGAGCTAGAAAAATAATTCAGTAATATACGGCTCTTAAATAAGCCATAGTATTCTACCACGGCAATGTCCTTCTGGCATTAACGTGCATCTGCCAACATTTGAAATTCAAAAAGTAATATATTTAGTCTCCTTGCTGCACCTGCCTAGGGAGAACCTTCTGTCCGAACTCTCATTTTTCTTACAAAGACAAGATCTTATGAAAAGCAAAGAGTGGGAGCCAGTGGCTTCTGCTCTTCCTAGGCACCTATCAGCAACACCGTATTTTTATGGAAGTGTGCCTGCCGACTCTACTGTTAAAGTACAAAACAGAATACACAGTACAGAAACCTAGTAAGTATTTGGGAGATGTAACACTACTAATTTATCACCATAATGATACATTATAAACCTATGGGATTTACTGTAAGCACAGAAAAATGTTTATACAGATCTATAAAGATCTGCATATACAAACCTGCAAGCTGCACTCCGAGTCCTTTAAGTCTGACATTTCTTAACTGAAGAGGCTATAAATTTATAACAGATGGAGAAACTCTAAATGAAGAACCTCAGAAGATATTTGAACAGTATCCAGTAGTTCAACATCATGTACCATGAAAAACCACTTCATATCTACATTCTCTGAAATATACTATATTAATTTCAGATTTACATACAGTGTTGTAAAAAAAAGTAAAATGCAATATCCATTAAGAGTATTTATGTATCAACAACAAGAAAAAACGTGAGGCAGTAACAACACAAATCCTTTCCTTTCAACATCAAGAACTAAAGAAACAAGAGAGACTTTTCTGTACTTTAGTATAATCAGTTTAGAATTCTCAAGATTGTATTTCATGTACTCTAGCTTCCTCTTTATTCTCATATTCTTCTCCAGGGAGAAATAAGATGACATAGTGTATATATAGGTAGAGAGATATTTCATGTCCTTCAATTAAGACAGCTCTGCTCTTCGAGCGAGCAAACTAATTCAGAAAAGTAATCACTATTTGTCTTTTAATATTGTTATCCTCCACTACAGGACACAATATACTGAAATGCAGATACCCTGATTTCTTATGTCTTTTAAGCAATTAAATCCCTAAGCACATTCAAACAATTTCCCTCAAGTACACTGAAAAGATATCAAATGTTAAATTACAGCCTTTCATCTTGCAAAAACATTTCAAAACCTTAGACTTAGGTTGCATTCATCCATATCTAAAGAACCATTTAAAAAAATACAATCTGTAAGTCTTTTCACAATTCCCATTTGGTCAGCCTCACTAAATGAAAAAACCCCAAACAAAAACCTCGCCCAGAAACGCAACCCAGTATGCTTCTCTGCAGAATTGCAGGCAACTGAAAACTATTCCTGTGCTCCTTCTGCACTGAGAGCATTATATAAATTCTCTCTCTTAAGGGGTAAGGGTAAAAACAAAAGCCTTAATAATTTAAAACTATTATTTATTGTTCATAATAAAATGAGTTTTGTATTTTAGATCAGTGAAAATGCAATGACCTCACCTGTTTCCATATATACAAATATGAGACTCTATTTTGATCTAATATATTTTGAAATCTTTTAAATGAGAATAAAAACCTGCCTCGCTTCTCTTTACCTTTACACTAACTGCAATACAAATACAGGTAAAGAGACAAACAGGAGAGACGAGTGTTTCAGTCACGTTATTGGCTTGCTGCATAATGGCAACATCTTTTCCTCTCAATTCCCTAACCTGAAGAGCAGTAAATCTATTTTTTTATATTCTGCAAAATTCATTTCAAGCTTTTGATTAAAGAGGGTCAACTAAGTTAAACTTGTGAGCGATGGTCCACTTGTAGCAACATATTCTGAGAATGAAGTATGCATATTATGCTTTGAGTTAGTAAAAGCTTTCTTACTGCAAGTCCTTGATTTTTCAATAGTGGTAATAACCCTACTGATTTCCAGTTTCACTTAGTAATTTAAGAATAAACCCACAAACTGAACTCAGTGGTAAATGGCATATTCCAACAGGATGGTGGAGTTGCTTTAAATTAGGAATAGCAGAAACAATACTGTAAACTGTCCTAGAAAGAAACTGGATGTGATGAATAACTTCTTTTCTCCCCCAAAGAGACCTTGTAAGTTGATTCTCATAACAATGAGCCTTATTTACTCTCCTTTTCAACTTACACAAGGCCTTCTCAAAAGGCTATGAAACAACACAGACTCTAGTGTCACCTAGCTTTATGCCACTTTCTTAGTACAGATGGCTGTAATATCATTCAGATGTGAGAGTACCTGGGAGAGATAAGCATATGTATGAAAGCCAGCCGGCTCAAACTTAAACCAAGCAAGATAAAGATGATTATGGTGAGAAGTGGGAAATTCTCAGTGGAGCAAATGAAGGATATACAATTTTTTTCATAAAATGAATTAAAAGTGAGCAGAGAGACTTTTTATACATTTTACAGACAATTTAAATCAATGTTTAATATAGCTGCTTCAATTACATTGTAGGTTACAGATACTAGCCTGAGGCATCAGACGTAAAAATCTCTCTCTCTTCAAATTGAAGGCATGTAGACATTACCAAACTTAAGTCCATCTATACTTAGGACTGAATTCATGCCAACTAACTGTAGATTAAGATGACAGTTAATTCAGAAAACTCAGTGCCCCAAGCTCCTTAAATAGTCAATGAAAAGAACAGCCCTCTCTCCCTTCTGTGTCTCCCTTAGCTGACTAGACAGGAACACCGATGTTCTGGGCTTTAAAATTTGGTGGAATAAATAAGGACTAGTAACTCGACTAACAGCTCAAGAGCTCATCAGTTTAAAAGCAAAGAAAGAAAGGCTGGGTATACTGCTTTATTGCAGGATTACTATGAATGTATTATGACTACGAATATTGCTATAAATATTGGTCCAAAACTCAGTTCTGTAACGCTACATTTTGTTTTGTTCAAGGCAAATGAACTCAAGCTGACAGAGGTAGAGAGAAGGCCTATTTGATACCTGGGAAATGTAGGTTCTACCTTAAGAGAAAAATCAAAGACCTTGTTTTGTTTAGCCTACAATAATTAAAACTGTGGGCTATGACTGCATTTATAAACACAACCATGAGTGAGAAGATTAACACTAAAGAAGACAAAGCCCTACGAAAATTAAGGGACAACAGACTGGTATAAAGGGACTAGGAGTAAATTTAGCCTGGATATTAGAAAAAGTCCATCTAAGTCCCCAGGTTATTCAATAGCTTCTGCAGAGGAACAGCAGGGACAAAACACTAATTACTTTTAATGTGGAACACACATTGCTTACGAAGCAAAGAAAAAGATTGTTTTACCCTGGAGGTCCGTTTCAGTTCCATGTTCTTTTCTCATTATGATCCTGCTTATGAAGCATGGGACTTGAGACCAGAGAGTCAATGGGGAGTTGCTGTATGTCCTTTAATGCCACAACCAGCAGAGCAATCACCCTCACTGTATGGGGTACAGAATAGCCTAAATGATCTAGTTTTCTAACCCTCTTAAATGATCAGTACAAATAAATGTCCTACTCAATTGTCTGAAAGCATATCGTGAAACAAGAATCTGATTAGAATTTAAAGAACTATGGAAATTAATTTGACAGCACAGTGATATTGCTAGTCCTCCATAATGATTGTGTAATATTCAAAATGTCTGTTTTGGTTACCTTAAAACATTTCTGGTTCAACTGAACAATTAAAACAATCTTTGCGCGACACTTTTTCTGAAGATAAGCTTTGATAACATACAGAAAAAGCACATTAAGGACCTAAACGTTAAAAGCTTAAAGAGCTGCAACTCTCATTAAAGTTGTCATATCACTAGACCAAGTCTAAATGACAAAGGTTTCCTGAATTATTTCTCTAACTGTGAAATATTATCACTATTAGTGTCAGAAAATGTTTTTTACAATAAGGACTGAAAAGGACTCGATCTTCCAACTCTTTCAAAAGGTAACTTTGCTTGTACTTGGAAATGACAACTTTGCATTATCACACTGCATGGAACCAAACCAATTTCATCCGAGAACTTTCAGGTTTAAAAAAAAATAATTAAAAGAAGAAAAGAAAAAAAGTGCATAAAATAGGAAAACAAACAAAAGAGAAATGAATAAAATAGCAGTCTGTTTATGGACCAGAGACAGAGGTTGTCTTATACCTCCGCAAGGTCCGAAAAGAGTGCTTGGCTTGTGCTACGTCTCAAAGTATCCCAATAGCTTCTGGGGACAAGGTCCACTCCTTCTGTTTTAAGAACCTGCAGAAGTTTCAAGAAGCACAATTGTTTGAAAACCAAAGAACAATAAAACAACTGCTTACAGACTTTAAAATCTTTTCCAGCTGATCTTCAAAAGCATGGCTTGATTCTTTTGCTTCTACACAGAGAAATTTCTACCCAGCTACATGACACTTTGTAAATCAAAGGAACACTAGTATATTACAGCTATTTGGTTATTACTCATAACTTGGCTGTGCCAAAAGTATCACCAGACTCCGCTCTCCCAAACAAAATAATTTAGAGAAAATATTTATTAAAAGTATACATGAAAATGTCCTCTAAACTCAGTATTTTGCTGTTGTTTTTCCCAACAGCTTTTTTTGCCAAAAAATATTAATTTATATTCTTATGATATGAAATTCGTTTTCCCATTGGTCAAAATATAAATGCTACCATCTAAGTAGTTATATAAAATTAATGTCATCCAATTATCAGGATGACATCCTTGCAACAATAAAGAAAAGCAAAAAATAAGCCTAGTAAGTCCAACTTCAACTGTAATATACTTATCAAGAGAACACTATGCACATCTTATGATCAAACTTACCTTGTTTAAATAGAAAGTAAGCGTTTAATCTCTCCAAGGAAAATACGTTTTCCTTTTTGCTCTGAAATGTTTCATATATGGAAGCCTGAAAAATCCTCACTTATTAAAATAGGCCTTCCTTTATCTTGCAATTAGTCTTGGAAGATCTGCCTAATACATTCCCCTGCCCCTGCCCCCAAAGAATCTAGGGGAGGTGATCATAAAGACAGCGGAAGACCATCTGAACTCGGTTAGGGTTACTGCAACTGAATGAATTTTTCCCTTTCTCTCCAGAAGTCAATGTAAATTAGGTCTTCTACTTTCAGGGCTTCCCACACACGTCCATCTGGGCACGCAAGACAAAGACAGAATGAGTTTAGTCTTCTAATTACAAATGAAAACCTTTTTTTTTTTTGAGTCAGCACATACTATTCTCTTAGACGATTTACACGGATGTGACTGCTGTACGATGTGTAAAACCACATTGTTATCATAAAGAATACTGTACCGAGTTGAAGTTTTATTGTCTCTATGTATTCCACGTTATGTCAATCATGGAAATATAAATTTAATTCTTTAAACAGTTGAAATATAGTATGATTTCTATTTTTCTGTTTTCCCTTAATGTTCTTTAGCACAGCATCTCCTCAGGTAACAGGTCTTCAATACGCTTGCAGTACCTCCAGCAGTGATACACAGTTACATGAGTGAAGATATTATTAAGGGCTCTTATCAATGTAATGGGGCTCAGTGCTTATGGGACCGTCTATGTATTGATTTGCTTCAGCTATATTTTACATGTTTATAAAAATGCATCTGTGTATGAATGATTATGTAAATTTGCATCGTATACAAATAATGCTCTTAGTACTACAGAAGCAATATTTCAGCAGTAAGTCAATATGTAATTTAAAAAAAAAAAGATAAAAATGCATTAAGATATTTAATACAAAGTATGTCCGGCTGCAGAACACCGTAACATATTTGCTGGAAGAAAATATGCTAAATAATCTAAAATTTTTGCAACTTGTGTACCCTTTCTACAAGTTCTATCACGTACTTTCTCCACTTACCAATTCAACTCAGCTCTTTCTGTAAATTGTCATCAAAGAAACATGACAAACTACCAGGAATTATACCCATGCTTAATGTATATTATACTTTTGTTTCCTTTTTGAAAAGTTCTGGTTTTATCTTTCTCTTAATTTGGAGTAACAGTTCCTACATTGTGGCCACAGTATCCTCATACATAACTCCATTCAGTCCTAAATTGCTGAACTCAAAGAAATTGGTTTACTTCAATGCGTACAGGATTAGGTCCTTAGGGCTTCAGTTTTTCTCTTACAACTATTTATCCCTTTGGTATTTACTGGGTCATGTGCATGAACAACACCTCAATCCTTTATCCATAAAATACAGTAATATAGCTATTTTAAGTATTCACTGAATTTGTTCTTACTGGAGATTTACTTTAGCCAATGGAATTAGTATTTCTGGGCAGGCACATTTCATTTTCCTTACATGCATCTCATCATAATTATCTGTTCTGGTTGGCATTTGGCTAGTAAGAGCACTCATGCAACACGTGCTGAAGTAGTCTCAACACACAACTGCAGTATGCACCAGAACATGACTCGAAAGAATTAACCTATGCAAATGAAAAGACAAAAATATTTAACCTATTTCAAACTTCACTGTATACACCCTATGGCTTATAGACCTTGACGTTTCTCAAAAAAATCAGAACTGTTTTGAAGGATGAAGTGAGGAAATGGGCCCAACACAGCACTTTGGACTATCTCAGACTGTTCACGGCTGCATCTCCTTGGTCTTGAGTATCTTCACCTCCCTAGGACATCAAGGGAAACTGAAAAGGTTGCTGCAATTCTTGTTTCAGTAGGAGAAATAGAAATAAAAAATATCAGTATTCTGGGGTGGGGGATTTGTTGGATACTGTGAATTCCCATACATCCGAGTCTCCTTTGCATGGAGATCTCCATTCAGGTTGTAGGAGGGCAGGACAAGATGGTGCACACCTGGGCACCATCTTGATACAGAGTTAGGATGTGGCTGGAGTGGACCACTTCTAGAAGGAGATTTTTTTGCTAAAGCTGAAAACTATTATATGAGTAGGAAAGCCTAACTAGTTTGGTTTCAGTTTAAAATAGGAGGCAGCACAGGAATACAGCAGCCACTCTACGGCACCTTTCACTGCAGTAAAGCCTGATCTAAAATCCATTGAATTGTAAGGCCTCACATTTCCTACTACATTATTCTCACAACATTGCAGTGTCTACTATCATGTCACTGCACCTTTTCATTCAACAGACTTCCTTCCTGCATACTGCCCAAATGGTATGCGCTAACTTCACAGGAAATAAATCTGTGCATTCCTGTGAATGATTATATAAAGAAACGGACTTTAACATTGTAATTTCACTAGTTACCTAATTCTTGTAGCTTCTCTCCCCTCACTTTGAATATCATAATACTCATACCAAAACAAGTTTAATTCTTCTATTTTAACATCACATCAAACATTTTAACAGCGGTTTTACTACTGCTGTGATCCAAAAATTTATCAGGTCAGGGTGAAGACATTCAAAACCCCAGAAGATCTCTCTCTTGCAGATTCTCTCTCGCATGCCTCAAAAATGGTTGAAAATAAGTTTACTGTCACCTACATAATACAGGGACTATTTTCTGTAAAATCCTATTCCAGTTCAGCACTGAAATGTCTAATTTATTTGTTCTGTAAGTGAAGCACAAAAATATAAAAGCTCTCTTCTGGTTTCTTTTTATTTGACTAACTATTACTTCACATTATACACAAGGAGACAAGACAGACCTGGATCAAATGACTCATGCAGGATGACTTAATTTACATACATTAATTAAAACCAAGTCCATAGTTTCTTAAGATATACTTTGTCCTCTCCCTTAAAAATACTGTTTCCGTCATTTTATATAAATAGAGAGAGCAACCGTTCCTCCTGGTAGGCTTGCCCATTTCAGAATGCATGCAACAAGCACGCACAACCTTTTATGCAAGTAAAGATCTATCACATTTTTACTGATTAGTAAAAGTAATTTACTTGATGAAAAAGATAAATATAGTAAATTTTTTTATAGCATACTATTTCACCTCACTGGTAAAGACTGCATAAATTGAAAATAATTAGAGTACATACACTGTTAGTAGAAGTATGATATCCATAAAGTTGGAGACGCTGACATACAGCAAAAATGGGTCAAGCCAAGTATCACGTCAGAATGAAGCCAAAAGAAGGAAAAAAAAAAATAAAGACAACAGAATAGGTTAAGACAAGTAAATCTTTATTTTATATATTATTAGATTTTTTAATTTGTTTTTAAAATGACAGTGAAGAAAAAATGGTTTATTTTCAATCTCATTCTTTAAATTTTCAAAAGAGAAGTACAGAGTTGCAGAGATTATTCTCAGGAGAAATGTTCCATTTCGTAATCTACTTTTTCCAAAAGCTCTCCTTTTGTGTGTAAGTTTCCTTTGTTCAGAATAAATAGTGTGTGAGAGATTCAATAATTGACCTACACTTTTGAAAAGTTGAGAAGGATAGGTCTCTCTGGGTCAGAAGAAAAGATGCCTTTTTATGCTCAGGGAAGGTTTAAAAAGTATTAATTCTTGAAATTCAAACTTCCTATGGTTTCAGGGACAAAGATCCGAGATCAAGCATATATGGTCCCAAAAGGATAATGGACATTATGAGAAGCTTTGCATATATGTCAAAATGTTTCTTATAATGAGGAATTTTTGCCACAAGTATGCAAATTGCAGATGAACGTGTTTTTTTCTGCTGTGGGCTTGACAGAGACTTGTCCCTAATTTTTACTTGTCCAACCATAAAATAACGTCCTGCTACTGCTGCCATCCTCCAGACAAACCACCACAGACTCTTCTATTTCTGACTTACCTTTCTTATGCACATAAGAAATGCAAATTTGACATTAAATGAGTATTAAATATTCCACAAAAGACTATTCACATAATATAAACAACTAAAAACATTTTGCATTGGTCATAAGCAGTATTTAATAAAAAAATTAATTTTGAATATAAAATCTAAGTTAATTTCCAACATCAGCTATTTTAAAACTGCTATGTTAATAACAAGCATCAGGATCAGTATGTCTACACGAACAGTTTCCGTTAGTTATGAGAGCAGGAGTATAGTTCGGTCTTGCCACTGAGATCTCTCTCTTATAGACAATAACACTGGGTCATGGCTCTTCACTTTTCCTACATTTATAGATTCCAAATGGAATCAATGCTACTGTCATAATACGCAAGACAATATTTAATCACTAATTTTTCCTTTCTATAGACCACTTAATTTTTTTTTTCCAATAACTGCAGTTTAGGCAAAATATTGCTTTTTTCTTTATATAGTTATACATACTCTTTTAATGAGATGAATTTATTCTTTAAAAAAAATTTGAAAGTGATTAGTGAAATATATACAGACGCACAATTTTGTCCTACATTGAACAAAAAAAACCGACTACCAGCTGCAACTATTCTGATTTTACTTACCAGCATTGCACGTTTTTCTTCATCTCCTTTTCTTTCTCTCTTCTCATTTTTTTTCCTGAAAATCTCTTGTAGCTAAAAACCAAACCATTTCGTTCTTATTTAGTTTTCAGGCTATTTCACATGCATAACAATCATTCATCGTGAGGAACACTGCAAACTATTAAAATGTAGTTCTTTACTAAAATATCAGTGTTTCAATGATGCTTTACTGTTCATATTCATATTCATGCCTTCATGTTCCTTCTGTCACCTTAACCATCACACAGAAAGAAAAAAGGAAACATTTTTTCCACAAAGTAAGGTTTAGAATTCTATTTGGGAGCACAACACTAAGAACATCCTATTTAGCTTTATATTTTAGCCAACCCAGCCTATACAAAAAGGGGAAGTTCCAGTCTTTTTCACCACCTTCTTTCTTGTTGGGTACTAATTAGTATCTGTGTGGCTACGTAGGCAGCTGGATCAATCTTTTTTTCATATTGTTAGTTTCCAACCAGATCAGTTCTTACTCCTGCTGGCACATGGGAAGGGTGGAAACACCTGGTGGGGGTGAAACATTCCCCTTCAGCAGCAACAAACTACTACTCAAGAGTAATTTATCAAGTACCGTTTTTTTTCAAGTCTGTTCAAAGAATACCTTCAGGTCTTGTAAAATACCCCTTTCACAACTTTCTCTACATTAAGAGCTTTAAACATGACTTCTGAGAAAACCTCAAATACAAGATTTAAAACATACAGAGATTATTAAACATTTATTTTTGGAAACTGCAGTCTTCAGACTAAGAAATGATCTGTACTTATCTTTTTTTGTAAGTGTCTGTATTCTTTAAATATTTTTATTTATAGTAATACTTATTAACATTCCCAAAGCATTAGAAAAAAGTGACACCTTGTTTACTCTTCACAGGAGACAGAGCAGTATTAAGTATGATCCCATCTATATATCTACCAGTGAACTTCAGCTTTTCAAAAATTGCACCTGAATATATTGTACTGCCACTTGTAGCATTTGCTAATCTCAAAATGGCTGAAAAAAGAATAAACACTGTGGCTGACAAATTTGTCCTATCCAGAATATAGTATTTTCAGAACCGAACATCACGGCATACAGATGGTGGTACCATAAATACACAATTGTGGCAGTTGTTTCAAAGACCCGATTTTACCTACCAGAAGTCTGATAAAAACCTGACACTGTAATGACATACACACAGAGCTCCCCAGGGATCAGAATGTGAAAGATAAAGTGCGTGTGATAAATTTTGCAAGCAAATTTTCCAAATTTAATTTCAGAATACCATATTTCAGAGAAGGCAGATGACTAAGACAAAGGGATCAGCACACTCTACCGTAGGGGTATAACAACACTGAAATAAATGAACACAGTGCTTAGCAATTAAACAGCAAACGCATTTATAAATAATGTTTTATGAATTTCCAAAACTGACTACTGTGTTCTGGAATTGTCTATGAGGCAAATACTGACCAGAATATTGTGTGTGTCACTGTATCTATTTTTGAGTATGGGATCAATTTACAGACCTGGGTATGTTTTTTCTAATTTTTTGGAAACCTACAGGCAGAAATTATTGTAACCTATGCTGACAAGGAAGAAGTCATGATAGGACATTTAGCTGGATGGCCTAGAGTGTTACACAGTTTGCAACCCCAAACTGTGGAAAGAAGAAAGGTAAATGAAGAGAGAGAAGTAGAAAGAAAATACCTTGTGAAAAGTAAAGTGACAAGCCATCAAGTAGGAGAGAGGAGTGGCAGTAATTGAAAAATCAAAAAAGACTGGTAGAAAGCAATGCATCCTTGGATGTATTTCCCCTGCCACAGAGGCAAAGGCAGTAGGATTCTGTTGCATTCATCATTAAAGCACTTGCTAAACTTCTGGAAATGGATCCTTTGTTCAGAAGCAGTGCTATAGGATACCAGCGAGTCGAAAAGTGAATGTGAAAAGGATCTAGCAGTACTTTCATAGGAACATTGTTTGAAATAGGATAATGAGATTGAGTGCTGAAAGCAGCAAAACCAAGATCTCCTGTAACAAGGGAACACAATCCTTCTGTTCCCTGACCTCACCCCTATGACATAAGCAAAGAGGAAAGCACAAACACTATGGAATTAGTTTACAAAAACAGTAAAGCTGTTATCAGAAAAATTAAGTATTTTTCAACTCTTCACTACACATACTCTTCTCTTCAAGAATCATATAACATGATCCCTACACCAATCTCTTCAAAGTGTCTTTATTTGCAAAACTGGATAGTATTAGCTATACTTCCAATTTTATGATAGCTGACTGTAATCATTGGAGAAGTATTTTGCAAATGCTGGATATAATTCAAATGGCAACACTTACAGTCTCCTGCTTCCAGGCACACAGGAGATGATGCATACCCAAGCAAGGTAAGTACAGATGCCAGGTGTATGTTCTGCAGCCAGGTCTATCACAGCTGCAGCATCACTGAATCAACTTTTATTTTCATATTTACTTTTATTTAACACAGACATTATCTACCTACCTACCTACCTACCTACCTATTTTTATCTTTCTCACTTCAGATCTAACATTCTGACTTATGGGTTTTGATCTAATTTTTGAAGGGTCACTGACATGGTAACCAAGCAGAGTTAGGGTCAGGTTTAATCTATACAAATTTGTTAAATACAATAATAGGTGGAGAACAGTGTATCTAATGTTTGAAAATTCTCCTTCCTTTCTTCTATCCACTAAGCCTGGTAACAGGAAAAGAGTAAGAAGGAAAAAATTTTATCAGGGACCATGACAGAGAACAAATAAAAGGTAGGATATGAAGAGGACTATAAAAGCATAGTTAGAAAGAAAGATGCAGTATCCATAGTTAAATGTTGTCCTTGCTTCCCGCCTTATATACTTGATTTCATTTTCAGCATCAGTTTCTGAAAGACAAAGCCTCCTGCTTCAATTTCCTTCCACTTAGCTTTTGTAATGGAAGCCTTTTTTTTTTTTTTTAAAAAGTTGTCAGTCTGTTCCACCACATTCTGATTTATGGAATCATGAAAGACTTTTTTTTTTTTCTTCTCCTTTGCTTCTTCTATTTTTCCTTTGGCCAATTAATCCAATGTTTGCTGGCTTTTTCCCCTGACCGGAGGAGATAATTATTAGGAATTGGCAAATATAAGGATGTGTACGTTTAATATTAGAATACAGAAAATGATCAGCATGCCACAATTATGCAAGTGGTGACAGCTTCCAAAACAAATGAGACTTGTTCTGCTTAAGCTATGCCACCAGAAAATAAGTCCCCCAGACCTCAGATCTCACTCACTTGGTTGTGTATCACTTCCTTGAAAAGAATTAAGGGAAGTTCAGTGTGTTGAGGACAGTTTCTTTCACGTCTCCATTTTCTTTAGGTTAGCATAGCTTATCTGAATCGAGCCTCATAACTTGACATGAAAACAATTAAGAAGCAGCACACAGGAAATTAGGGTGTCTTCTTTTTAAATAAATAGAGGTCCGACACTTAAATCCATTCCATGTGTCTGTTTCATTCGTTACATCTTGTTCAATCTTCTTCAATAAGGCAGCGGGCTTCTTCTCATATTTATTTACTGTATTTATTTATAAACGCAACTACACAAAAAATGGGTGAAGATAAGAATTGATGTCTTCTGCAAATATGTTTTTTAGAAACATCTGATTCAATTATTATAAATATTTTTTTATTCCATTAATTGCCTGTACTTGTTCAGTAGAAAATAAAGGCCTTGTGCAGTCTTCAGAAAGCTTGTCTAAACCACTAACCACAAACCTTTAAATGCTAATTTCTAAAGAAACGTCAAAAACTATGTTTGCCATAGCTGAGTGTTCCAGTGTAATCCCAGACATCTGCTGCATATGGACATTACCAATTTAGAAAACTCTGATTTATACTGTATTGTGCAGTTCGTTAATGTAAAGCCATGTGTCATTGTAAAATCAGAAGCCCTAAAGATGAGTGGGCAATCTTCTGATTTCATGATTTCTTTTAAAATGATCAATTTTTTACTTCATCACTGACATTCATTTAGAATAGCATTAATTATTCCTCCCATTTCTTTTAAAATCAGAAAATAAATGAAATGAACATAAATCTGAAATAGCCCTCTTGTTCCAAGGCTTAATTTTACACTTGTCAGTGCAAGCATCATTCTCCTGTTCTTAGTGGATCCTATCACCTGAAAACTTAAGAAGTATTCGAATTTTAAGATGCAATTATCAGATTTATCATGATCAAAATCACAATATAGTGGATGATTCAAGAATTTTTGAAGATCCAAATTCTTCTTAATGCACAAATCTCAAAGACATGTTGTGGTGAAATAAGCTATTTTTTCTTTCAAAGTCTGGGCCTTTAGAACTGTTCAAATTTCTAACCAGAAGAAAAATAAACTCTCTGCTTAAGTAATTAGTAAGAAGAACTTACAGAACTGCTTTTTTTCAAGCAACAAACTGAGTAAAGCTCTAGTTTGAAAAATACTGTAATTCAGATTTGTAATGTAATAAAACCTTTGATGCAACAAAACTACTACTGCCAAGTTCCAGATGTCCTGCCAACTGTTCCAAAGCACATGAAAATTATTTAGCTCAAAGTCAATTTTGCTATCAGGAATATTCTCCTTAAAAAGAAATCACTGAACGCCAGCTTAGCAAATTGCTTCAGCATATGCATTTCATGGGCTGAAGTAGATGTATGTACAGTATGTTTTATTTCATTACAAATCTTGTCCAAAAGAGATGACAGTGTTACATTATGTCAGTCAATATTTTCAGGTCATCTGGGATTATAAGCAGAATGAATGACAAACTGAAGTGGTCTCCCAGGAAAAGATTATTTTGCAAGTCCCTCCATCATTATTGCAATTAAATAATTCTGCTGACCATTGATACAGCAGTATTACTTTAATAGCCTAATTATCTGTGAACGTAGTAGCAATTAAAAAGATCCAGAATAAAAACTGGAATTAAGCTTCAAAAATCGTTATATACAAACACACCCATGCACTGTAATAAGGAGATAGTATTTACAATTTACTTTACATTTACTATTTACATTAAATAAGGCAAATAAACAACCACATTCAGTGAAGAATAGCTCATGTTCTCATGATTATTGACGTCATCATGAGTCTCAGTCCAGACAAAAAAATGAATTTCAAGATTACATCAAAATATTCAAAGACTGAAAATATACGTACCACTAAGAATTCCTTTTTGTCCACCATCTCATTGCCATCAGTATCAAACATGTTGAAAGCAATTCTAAAACCTGCATGTGGCTCTGCCAAAAAAACCGCATTCAATTATTTATTTGCTTGGAAAGAAAGCAAATATAAAACTCCAAGAAATTATTTGGTATCTGTTTATAAAAGCCATATCCTCAACTAATTTAAGTTAGTACATTTGTGTATAGAGTAAATGCAAATCATAACATCTGTGAAACAATATTATCCACGTTATGAAAACAGAAGGCATACTCACAAATTCATAGATTAGGGGAAATAGACAGTAGAAATAGAACATGAAATATCCAAGAAAAATATCTCACAGCAATGGCTGGTTGGGTAGTTCAGAGTGTTAGTTCATAACTAGAGTCCATTTTACGTTACAAAACACAAATTTGTAGAAAATAAATTTTCTGTGAAAACACAGTGTTCTGAAAGACACTTTAGAAAGTTTTGCAAAAAAGGTACAGGACACAACTCTGGTCAAAACAAATGATGCGTTGAAAGAGACCCAGAATTTTCCCGTTTACATGCTCAGAGTCATTGAAATTTTAAATCAGGTTAGAAATTTAAATTATTTCCAAAATGTGGGGACTTTGAAGGTAACTGTAAGTGAAGCCTTTAGGCAACATTTTGGTGATATTCAATGATTTGCAATATGGTTTAATTATGGCCAAAAGTTAGTCCAGATAACACAGAAATTATGGAAGAATATCCATCGATCCAGGAGTTAGGGATTGTAAGCATTCAGGGTCAAGTTCCTGCTCTGATTCACAGTAAGAATCCAAATCATGTCTGAAGAAAAACCTAATGAATCCAATAGAAATTTTTTAATTACGTACAAAGGAAAGACAACTAAAACACTTTGCTCCTTCCTAAACAACACCTCTTAAAATATCAAAACAAAGTCTGTATCAGGCTTATTTTACTCTAGCTATAAGTTCTTCTACTTTGTTTTTATGGGTGGTAGAAGAGTATTCAAATTTGTTAGTGTTTTCAACATAAATAAACATTTACTTTAGTTTGACAGATTTTATATTTTATATTCTATCATCTCATTGATGTCACCCATTATGCACTAATAGGTGAAACAAACCAGTAATAATGTGTATCTTTACACATTCAGCTAGAAATTTTGTAGGAATTTCAAAGAAGAAAAGAAATTTACTCTTTTAACTGGGGTTTAGCTGAAGTGTATGGCTCAACTTTCTCAACAGTCAGTAACATGTGTTCTAGATAATAAAGCACTTAAATAAAACATAACACAAGATTCCAGTAGGACAGGAGAGGTTCAAATGGACATAGAGATGCACAATACATTTTTTTCCATATTGGGATGGGGGGGGGGGGGGGGGGGGGGGAGAGAAAAAAAAGGAGTATTGTAATGTACAGCAATACATTCAGAGATTAGAAATTTGTAAGGAAGTTTTTGGGGTTTTTTTCCTCCAAAAATACTTACTTGTTAAAATACATAAAAGGAATAAATATTCTGTGTAAGATATCACACCTGAAGACAAAAAAAAAGTTATGCCATATTAGTTTCACCTTGTCTTCACATCCTAAACTTGAAACTATTAAACGTATGTATAAGAAGGAGAATTTTTGTACATGCGCATATGCATATTCATATTTCTGTGCATGTGACTGTATTCATCCTGGTCAATGCGTTATTTGTCTAAAATATTGATCTATGGGGTCGGGTTTTGTTTTTGAGTATTTTAGTGGAGGAATACATTAAATATGGCAAATAAACAACTACAGTCAGTGGAGAATGGCTCGTTAAACAGAAGCTGGCTAGATTCTTAGAAGCTAATAGAAATGGTTTATTCGATTTTCTTTCCGAAAACCCCACCGATAATTCATGACAACACTCTCTAACAGTGTGAGAACATTTACTCTGAGAACATTAATCGTGCTCCCTCCTGATACATACCATTTGAGTACAGTTCTTGACTTTAGTAAGTGCTTTGTAAGTGCATGTCCTATATTAACTGAAAACTTGGCCTCACGTTACTTATGAAAGCATGGATTTGGGCTTTTGAGTTGTCTTTATATGCACATTTTCATAATCATCACCTGAAATTTATATTAAAACTCTTACTCAATGAATATGTAAATTTTGTTAAATATTTTTAAAGTCTGTTAGAGACATTTGTACTCTCTTCTACATTCAGAAGATCTGTAAGTAATCCATTCTAAGCTTTTCACCTTTTGTTAGACATCAAAAGGCAATCACGGTGTGGAATGGCACTTCCTTTTCTCTTCAGAACTGATTAAGGCAAAATTTAAATTAGAGCTGAAGTCAATATCCAAATATTATGTTTGGTACCATAAACTGTACTTCTGCTTTTCTAGCTCTTGGGTAAAGAGATAACCTTGCAGAATGCCCATAGTACTAATGGAGAGAAGCATCTTACAGTTCAGTAAGAACTGAAAACAATGACTTGCAGCTCTCCCAAAAGCCTTTAGCTCTAATGATCTTCAAGGCTGAACTACCAAAACTGGTTCTTGATTTCTAACCAATTGATTGTGTCTGTTCTCCAAAACCAAAAGTGTTAAGTCAGTCCACAATATTAGACTATTTCAAAAGAGTAAAAAAAAAAGTATTTAGATGCCTGAGAGTAAAGATGTCTATCAGCTGGGATTTTCAAAAGTTGCTGGCTGTCTCCTTGATTTCAGTCCAAGTCAGGTGCAAAAGTTTTTCTAAAAACAGCCACATCTTTGGATGTTTAAATCTCTTTTAAAATCTGACTTAACTGAGTATGTGACAAACTATGTAAATAGTAATTGAATTTTTTTCACTGAAAAACCTGTAAAATTAAAACTCAAAACATTGTATCATTCATGTGGATTTTACAATTATTTGAACACATTTAACATCAGCACTTCCAACACTGCTGAAGTAAGAAACTTTGGCATTTTCTACTAATATTTACAGCACAAAATGTTCTAAATTAATTCTGTCCTGAATAATACTCAGGAGGGACTTTCTGTCCTCTTGAATAGCTGAGATGAAAATCTCAGCTATATTTCTCTTGGATCTGTCCAAATGCCTTCCCAAACCTTTGATCATACAATACTCCTCCCTAAGCCAACTGTCCTGAAAGAGAAGTGCCTTCAAGAGAATCACGTCTACTATCCTCAAACACAGAAGTAAAAATAACCAACCACAGAGATCTCCCCAGGTATCACAGAGACTGGAATATAAAGACAATACAAAAGACAGACAGTTAACGAAATTGTCTCTGGAACCAAATCACATCCTAGAAAGAATCACTAAAACCCTCAACCTTTACCAGCTGAAACGCTGCCCTCCCAACTTCCATTCCATTCATGGAAAAAAAGGATACTTTCCCACCTTTTGATCCAAGAGCAAATTTAAGTCTTGTCAGGTGCAAAAGTTTTTCTAAAAACAGCCACATCTTTGGATGTTTAAATCTCTTTTAAAATCTGACTTAACTGAGTATGTGACAAACTATGTAAATAGTAATTGAATTTTTTTCACTGAAAAACCTGTAAAATTAAAACTCAAAACATTGTATCATTCATGTGGATTTTACAATTATTTGAACACATTTAACATCAGCACTTCCAACACTGCTGAAGTAAGAAACTTTGGCATTTTCTACTAATATTTACAGCACAAAATGTTCTAAATTAATTCTGTCCTGAAATAATACTCAGGAGGGACTTTCTGTCCTCTTGAATAGCTGAGATGAAAATCTCAGCTATATTTCTCTTGGATCTGTCCAAATGCCTTCCCAAACCTTTGATCATACAATACTCCTCCCTAAGCCAACTGTCCTGAAAGAGAAGTGCCTTCAAGAGAATCACGTCTACTATCCTCAAACACAGAAGTAAAAATAACCAACCACAGAGATCTCCCCAGGTATCACAGAGACTGGAATATAAAGACAATACAAAAGACAGACAGTTAACGAAATTGTCTCTGGAACCAAATCACATCCTAGAAAGAATCACTAAAACCCTCAACCTTTACCAGCTGAAACGCTGCCCTCCCAACTTCCATTCCATTCATGGAAAAAAAGGATACTTTCCCACCTTTTGATCCAAGAGCAAATTTAAGTCTTCAGAACCAAGGTTTTACTACTGCTAGTAGATCTATTTAGGAAGGCTACTAAGTATTTTTAATACCACCTACTCTTTTCCTCAATTTACACATAGCTCCACATTGAAGATTAGCAAAGATTAAATGCAAGCATTTAAGTAACGCATGCTCTATGCTTTATCTTCTTGATTTTATACAGCAGCTTGCAGAAATTAGTTCTCAAAGGCCTGCTTGAATCTGTTTGGACAAGCAGCTATCAAGAAATCAGATACCTCAAAGGTTCTTATTCAGTGATGTAAAACATTCTTTAATAGCCAGTCAATAAATGTAAATATGTATTTTTGTTTGTTTGATGACACCTTCTTTGTTGTAAAATGGAGGAAGAAAGTGCAATTGTCAAGTAGTCCATCACAGGTACGAAGATAGCAATATAAAAGGCCTCGAAAGCATTCTCTCCTTTTGTTTGTACTGGTATATTGTAGCTGTGGACAGATAGTTCTGCTTGATTGCTCTGAGTGTTATGGGAGAGAGGCTCTGAAATGACGATTGAACAGAAAGAAAAGCTTACACTAAGATCAGAAAGAAGAGAGGGAGGTCACTCAAGGGTAAAACATAAAAATAAAACTTAAGGACAACTGGCGTAAATCTATGTGGCTTATCTGATTTAAATGAATCTATGGCTAAATAAATGGACATAGGCTTTTGCTACTTGCTCCATTTTAAAATGTGCATGTTTTAAAGAAAATGAGTAAATTAATCTTGTAGTTTTCATGTCATGTACTAAATAAACACTAAATTAGAATTAAGGAGACCTGAATTCTATTCCCATTCCTGTCACTGGCTTACTGAATGACCTTATCAGTCATAAGACACATCACCTTTTCTTATATTATCTATAAAATGGGATAACAGAACCCACTTTTTTGTAAAGCATGCTGAAAAGCTATGTAAGTGCTAAAGTTTATTACTAATTTTACCAGCTTATTACGCCAGTTTTGAGTCCTCTTAATTCCATCACCTTCTGTAGAATTTCACTGTCAGAAAACTGGAGTAAGATATTGTTGAATGAAGACTGCACATATTGCAGACATTTTATTACAGATTTAATAAGCAACATCCAGATACTTTTTTTTTAACTGATAATATATTGATTTAACAGATTCGGAAGCTGAATTTTCATGTAATTAATATTTCAAAAGTCAGCTGTTCTGACTATATAGAAAGCAGCCTAGAGCAAGGAAATCCAAGGATATACAGTGAAAAGATATGCCAGGTTCTGCGTCTCTGGAGTTCTGGCTGCAGACTCAGGGGAAAAAGTGAGCACCTCCATGCACTAGATATTCGAGCCCAGGACCCTCCTCTGAGAGTAGGTGCATACTTACTCCTTTAATAAATGAGCTGCATTTGAACTAGATTCATCAATTACATGCACATGTTTGATTGGAATTTTGTTGTTGGCTTGCATATTTTAAACATTCATAAAGTGTCTTTATTTTATAGCAAGTACTTGTGGCTACTTTTAAAAACACTTAAAACGTTCCACCAGACCTTTGCCATTCTGAATATAAGCAAAGGAATATGTTGATTATTCATCATAAATAGCTTTTAAATGTCTGTATACAAGCCATCACAGTTTTTTTTTTTTTCTGGTTTTTTGTTTTTGAAGTGATAGAGCTTATTAAGAAAGAAAAAAAAGAGGCAACCAGGAGCGTGGCTCATGGCTCTTCCTTTACCAATAGTGTGAGTTTTAAAAACTATCAAAGCCCTCATCTGCAGAATTTAAAGGGATATATAGCATTTCTGAAACTGTCTCTTTGTGTTGTGAAGAAAATGCTTATTCAGTGATATACCATTACTATCGTTAAAAATAATCACAACGTTGAACCTATTAAAAAAAGTAAAGAGATATTGTGTCTTTATTAGAATATTCTATCTATGGTCTATAGATTATTCTTCATTAGAACAAATTGAACCTGAAACATTCAAACATCAGTTTAACAAGCTCTAAGATACCAATTCAATTAAAGAGGCTAGCTGTAAGATGGCATGATGAAAACACTGTAGAGACTAAAGGGAACTTTTCCATGCTGTAAAATGTAGAAAGCAACAAACACTTTTTATCTTTTTGAAGATGTGACTCAGATTAAAGTACAACATCACTTCAGCCACAATAAATTAATACAAGGGATAATTTGGTTCAGGAAAATAAATTCTTATCCCCCACCTTTCTCATTAAGATTACGGAAAAGTTTGGATGATCCTTTCCAAACTGGTGGTGTCTCCATAAGGATCTGATTCAGTTCCTAAAAAATAAGATTAAAAAAAGATAAAAGTCTATATTTAAATATTTAATGAAGTAGTTAACAGATGATGAGTAAATGCCAGGAAATCAATATAAAAGACAAGGAACTGCATGCAAATCTACCAGTTAATTTAACTTCAGTTTACCACAATGACTTTGGAAGTACTCAAGCACATATATAAATTTTGCACACATGATTATTCCAAGAATTGCTCATCTGCATGAATACTAAGTGTTTGCAGAGTTGGAGAGAGACATGTAACATATCTGTTGCTGACATTACTTACCACTGCCTATATTCACTGAAGCCAAGGATAAGTCCCCCTGGATTTCAGTAAGGTTTTCATACAAGCTCCAAGCAACTGTTCTTTTAAAACACAACCTGAACTAAAGCAAACTTCACCCATGAATATGAATGTACTTCACTTAAAATACAGGGATACAGACAGAGTCTTTTTGCAGTTGTACAAATGTTAAAAAAAAAAAAAATAAGAGGCACTTAAACATCACAAAAGGTAGAGAGTGGCATGAGTATTTCAGGCAGCTTTGGATACACCTGTTACACTCAGACACTAAAGAAACTCAGTCAGATATGGGCTGAGGAAGGAACTGACAGAGGCTTGAGAAAGTCAGCAAATCCAACATTAACAAGCAGAGCTGCTCAAGTATCTTTGAGATTCTGGATTCAGCTGAGTCTGAAGTGACAAAAACGAAAAAATCAAAGTGTCTCTTTTTTTTTTTTTAATAAAGATTTAAAAACTCCCTTCTTTCTCCTGTGACTAAGTTTACATCATGAAAGAAAGTAACTGTATCAAAATCTAAGGGTATAAGACAGCATAGGAATTACTGCCCACCTGCTTTGAAAGGGATCGCCACTTTTTAGCACCTGCAACAAAAGACAAAGTTATGAATGCACAGAATTTAGTTATGCCAATGCAATGTCATAAAAATTAGACTGCATCTATACTCTGTGTTTTCTAGCCAAAGAGGAGGTATTTTCCCTACTTCATGAGGCTGATCTTCAACCTGGTTCCAAAAAATTCTCTTTATGTTATTAAAAAAAAAAATGAGCTTAATACATACCTAAACTCCTAACTTTAAAGAACCAATTCAGATGTATAGTTTTTAATCCAACTCCGCTTCAGTGAGAGAGAAGACTTTCTACCTCCAAAATACACCTCTAAAACATTAAACAGGAAATAGAGGGTATTCATGTTAACCTGTGGTATCAATATTCTGAAACTATTATTTAGTAGCAGTAGTATTACAGTGCAGATTGTAGGGAGACCTGGATTCTGGCCCTTGCTTCAGGGACTACTCATACCTTTTAAAGCAAATACAGAAAACAATAATCATTGAAACTACACCAGGTGCTAAGACTCCCTTCAGCCATTCCTAATAACTCATTCATGCTCCCTTTTACAGCCTCTGTCAGGCTCAATTTTTTGTAAATAGTTGTAACAGAGGAGCTGAAGAGGGCCTCTGGTTCAGAACTGGAACTGCTCATTAATACTGAAAACTGACAATGAGTAAGACTGAGCAGATGCTTTCTTCCTAACACCTAACATGAAAGACTCCAGGAGCAGAAAAAGATACTCGCATTCGACAAGTTGTCCACAACCATCCAAGAATTCAAAACTTGAGATTCATTGTCACCCTCTCAAGACAAACATTTGCACAGATTCAATATTAAGATAAAGCACAGAACATCAGAATTCACAAAGGTACAAAAAGTAGCATAGTATGTGGTCAAATCCATAACTTTTTGGTTGGTAAAGGCTCATTTTTATAGAGCAAAACACTCTGTGGTATTAGAAATCCCTTCCTCATGATGAACTCCATGCTATATTAAATAACTACCATGATACAGAAGCTACTCACTATGGTCTTTCATTGGTTCATGGTTACGAACTCACTGAAATTTTAGTTTTACATCTTGGTAAAGGTTAGCACCTTTACCAGACTGTCTGCAAATCCCACTCCAACTATGGTGGAGTTATATCAAGCAACATCATAACATGAACTAACAGATTTTCATATACTTTTCAGTTTAATTTTTTAATGTCAATTAAAGCCTTGTCTCAAAATACTAAATAAAACCCAACAAAACAACCTCATTTGCCATATAAATTGATATATGTTTATGCCTACTATAAAAAGCTTGGGGAATAAATATATCTAACTTTCCAATCAGATAATTTCCCAGTCTCACATATTATGTATAGATTTTATTTCCAGACAAGCATCCACAAGAAGATTTATGTGTACCTACATACTTCTTACAGCTCAGTATTAGGCTAAAATTACTGTAGTTAGAGCTAAAGAGAACAAAATATATTTCCTCTTCTCTTAATTGGCTTTCTAAATATATAAACATTTATTCAGATGATAAAAATGTATCAAGTATGACTGTTAAAAATATTATATTTTCCCAAATGAAAGCCTGCACCATAAAGACAGCAGCAGCAAGTTAATTATAGCATTTATTTTATATTTTTTATAGTAACTGCCTGGAGTCAAAAGTTACATTTTATAAAAGAAAATATACTCCTACCATATTAGTCAGTGTTTAATCAAAAAAGGAAGTGAACACCCTCTTGACTTTTGTAGGGTTTACAAGATTTCCAAAGTAAATCAATCACAATAGACGCATTCACTCCATCACAAATCTCATTCAGGTCTAGTATTATTAGCTTTTCTATAAAGCAGACATAAAGAGCTACTATTATTACTCTTCAAAGGGCATTTTTGCTTTTTGACAGAACTCAAGACCTTTCTAGCCTTCATCCATTAAAAAAACCAGGTGTATGTTCTTTTTTTTTTCTGCAAAATATAGATGCTGTAGTATGTCAGCCTGAATCGACCCAATTATTTACAACTTAAAACTTGTTTACAAAATGATCCAAAAATACAAAATATGAGATTTAGAATGTATTATTTTATTCAGAAAAATACCTTCCTTAAACTTACTACCTTCCATAAAGCAAGACAGAAAATTAAGACTTGCCCAAACAGACAAAGCGGTACTTTGACAAAGCTGCAGTACAAAGGATAAAATTAACACAGTCAGAGATCAGAAGCTGGAAGTGGTAATACCTGTAGGTCATCTACTTCATTTATTACTTCCTACTTGTCAGCCCTCTGTCCAAATGTCCTAGACAGTATGACTTCCACTATAATGAAGTCATCCACTTCTACTTAGTTACAGCTTCTTACACTACCCCTTAAAATAATTATCTCAGTCATGTAATCTCTGATACTAGTCTATAAAACTAAAGGACACCCGGGTTAGTTTTGCTTTCAGTCTCAGAGATTGAAGGACGTTGATACAAACAAGGTTTGCTACATTGAACTCAGAAGGGTGCCTGACTGTTCAACTCCAGATCTCTTCTCCTTTGGCATGAGATGAACGGAATGCCCTTGTGAGCTTAACGCTTTTTGGTTTGGTTTGGTTTGGTTTGGTTTGGTTTGGTTTGGTTTGGTTTGGTTTGGTTTTTAAAATCTGAATACTCGCTGTGAGAGAGGAGGAAGCATAGATTTCATTAGCATGGAAAAATCTTCATAGCAAACCATACGCACAGTGTGGTCAAACCAAACTGTCATAAAAAGGAGTTAAAACGGAATGTTTAACTGATGTCCAGTATATGGCACAAATGCTTCATGACCATACATGGTGAAACCCAATTCCACAGTAACAAAAAAAGGAAGACTTGGAGAGCTGGGCAGAGGAAGCAGATATAAAGTGCTGATGTGTATTTGTATTAACTTCTGTGATAAGGAATCTGCTTCCTCTCTTTTAACTGCAGAGCAAAAAAAAGAGAATGAAGATTTGCTTTCTGGTAAGAGTTTCAAAGTTTTACAAGTTTTCACCATCTAAGCTCTATCTTCTGTCTTCACTGTTACAATGAGATTATATCTTTATTCAGAAGTTATAGAAGTTTTGATCACTGATGAGCCATGGCTGAATTCTTTCCTCGTTTCACTACTGTTAAGAGAACAAAGGGGAAAAATCTAACATCTGCACAGAGCTTTAAGCTCTCCTCTAACTGTTTTAGCTGCTTTTGACTGTTCTCTATACTAGCTTTGTGGTGTAGACTTTAGGAAGAAAGACCTAAGGTGAGTTATTATAAATGTCACACCTGAGCAAAAATATTCACTTTCCCCAGAAGTTGTGTGCTGCTACCAATGCACTGCAAGCCTGAGGGCCAGGAAATCAAACTAGATCAGAAATGGATCACCTTACTATTTAGTCACTCTTTGATACTTAAAGCAAAAATTTTACAGTAAGTGAACTGAAGTTGATAGTTTATTTTTCATTAATTTAATTAAAACATACTGCTAACTCTTGCAACTTTTAAGTGTAGAAAGTGGATCCCCTGGGGGACTGAAACTCTTACTCAAAGCATGTTATTTAGAGAGCCGTGATATGGTTATAAAATCTCTGTACGGCAAAGAAACCCCACCACGATAGCAGATGACAATTTCAGATGGCAAAAATTGCAAAACAATGTTATCCTAAATTATTTAGAGGACTCATATCTTGCCTGCCTATTTACATAGAAACTATACAAAGGAGGAGGCAAGAGTTTTACAGCAATACTGGTCTGCTCAGAAAGAGACCATAACTGTCACTGTGTCAATGCAAATGGTACAAATGAACTTCGTGTCTTTCATGCCTGTTCAGCTGTCTGTGACCTCTAAGACAAGAATGTTTAAGTAATGACTAGTATACAGATGTTTACAATCTAATAACAATGAGGATACTGATTGTATGCACTTGGATACCATTAAAAATAAAATTCTGGAAGATGCAGTACCTTTTTACCACAATCAGAAACAGAACTAGTAATCAAAAGCAAATGGAAAAATAACATACACCACTGGCATTTGCCCTAGCAATTTTATCAATATAAAACTCCTGCTTACGTTTGGGTTCATCATTTGTGACAGCCTGAATGAAGTCATATGGAGTCATATATAGCTGTCCTTCAAATTCTAAACTGGCAAACCTACGAAACCGTTGCTCCCGAGGAGTTGCATAAAGGTGTAAATCTTCAAGGTCTGATCTGTTTTCTGTAACCTTCAAAGACAGAAGGAAACAATTTTAATGTGTGAAAAAATTTTTCATTTACAATTGCCACTGCCATTCACCATAAAGAAACTGTAAGTGTAAAAGTGATAACTCGTAAAGTCAAACGGATCCAAATATTTTTGTATGGTAAGAGCTGAAACTATAATCAGGATTTCACTGCTATAATTTTCAGTTTTCTACAATTTTAGCAATAAATCAGTAAATCTTTATGCATTGAAATTGTTGACACTACCCAAGCTCGGGGAAAAAAAGGAAAAAAAAAGAAAAAAAAAAGAGAACTTAGGCTCTTGAATCATAGAAAAAGGGGCAACTTTAACTCAAGGAAGTCCATGTAACTTCAGCAGTCAGACTTTAATCAACTCTGCTAAAATTATTTCAGTTGTCTGACATTTCCCGAAGAGAATGGAATAACACTTTTTTTTATATTGCTTCTTAGTGTAGAGTTCAGCTGTTGACAATAACATGCAAGACACCTCCATAATATACTCCAGTGTAGATCTTCTACGGATACTGCTATTTCAAGTATCCTATGCAATAAAGCTACCATACTTGGGGGAACAGAAAAGAAGAGCATAATTATTCCTCCAGAGTTACAGAAGTACTATATGGCATTAAGTTCACAACTCATGAGAGTTTATAGATGTCAGGAGTTTCTGGTATGTTTACCATCCAGCTGATTTACACATAAACTTAGTAGTACAAAACTGTAAGTGTTCTGAATTATTACATCTTTGTGTTACAATGTCAAACCTTTTAACAGAAAATATGCTACTGCTATCTGAAAACATTTTTTAGCCAATAACAAGGGAAGTTCCTCTGTGGAATCAGTATCTTGAAGAAAATGTAAGTATCTCGAACTTTTTTCCAGAGATGAAAAAACCAAACCCAAACTGTTTCATAAAAGGAAGAGCAATGATATAGCTAACTTCTCCCAGTATGTTAAAACAGGAATGCAGCATCTTATCAATGAAATATCCCAAGCTGCCATTGTCCTCACTATTCTTGTCATTTCATACAGTATCCCTAAAATTCCTCAGGTACCAAACCAAGGAAAGGCAACAAGCAGCACATGGTTTAACCAATGTCTATGTTTTCTTTTAACAACTAAGAAAACAGCCAAATACATTTTGTTTTTCAGAGAAGCACCTAAACACAAAGAGAAGTTGGGAGATGTCTGCAGTTGCTGTCTGCTGAGAGATAACAGTCCTCAACTACAAATGGAAATTGGTTTTCCAAAACCTTTCTAAGAATAGGTTTCAGACTTCAGCAATTAGAAGCAAAGGCACATTTATACTGGGCAGTCAAAAATCTGGGCTCACTTTCCCTCTGCTTTCCAAACAACATCCTTAAAAAATAAAACATTAGTAAGACTACTGCAGTGAAACAAGATTTTATGGCTTCAGTTGTAATTAAGAAATTAAATTATGTTTGTAAAATAGACACATCAAAAATGAATGTGTCTAGAAGAGGTCAAACACTTTCTATTTGGAAAAAAAAACCAACAAAAAATCGTATGTACAATCACAATGTAACAGAAGACTCGCAATTTCTTGATTTTATATATGGGAGTCTTAGTACTTCAATACTTTATCTAGGACATTTTAACCAGCCTTCTAGAAGGAAAAAAGATTATCGACTGCATAGTTCTCTTTCTGGACTGTCTCTCATATTTTTGAAATTATTGCTTCTATTGTGTGTGTGAAAACATTTTGTTTCAATGGAAAAAACTGTCACAGAAAGTAAGAGTAATAGACTTGCTTATACAATCATCTAATTTTCAGTAGACTGCTTTACATACAAATATTCTGCACTTCTGCCTGAGAAGCAGCTTTAAACGTGGTCTTCGTGTTTTTTATCATTTTCAAATGATTACCAAATGAAATACGGGGAGGAAAAAATAAAATCTAACAGCCAGACCTACAAACTCACCTCAGAATGACAGAAAAAAGCTGAGTTGTCTTCTGACATACCCACATGCAAGCCAAAACATTTCTGTCCTATCTCACTATTTGAATACTACGGTCTTACTGATCCTTCAGCAGTCCAGTGGCATTCAAGCTATGTCTTCATGTGGGATTTACACAACTCAATTGTTTTGGTAGCGCTTGTAGCGACATAACTGATTATCCCTGTATTTGAAGTTTAATAATCTATCTCATTTTAGATACGTATGTTATTTTATCACTATTACAAACATGCTTTTGCATACATGCAGGTTGTAAGCACGAGTAATAAAGCAATATTTCTGCAAAGTCAATTTTCAGAAAAGAAAATGCTTCAAAGCCATATTACACATGCAGTATGTATAATCGATTGTAACCAGTCATAATCAATCATACATACTCAGAAGAATCTGTAGATAATGTGTCACTCAAGAAATATCATCTTAGTTTTGATCACTGTTAGTATTTGGAGAGCATGTTGAGATTCTTTGCTCTCAAGAAATTCACGCTATCTCAGGTACTGCTGCTTAATATTTCGCCTGAGACACTTAGAAAAGCATTTATTAAATTCTCAGACACGTATTTCAACATTATCTTAAGTACTCTATGCTACTGTAAGTATAAAATAACATACTGCAACAATTCTGCAAACACAGAATTTTCAAGACACGCTTAAACTTAACTCATGCCAGTACTCAGGTCTGCAAAACCTTAATTTCTGCTTCATTTTAGCCAATCTACAGTTTCCCTCCGACTATATAGCAATGCCAGCATTTCACACTCTGGCTCAAAGTCATTGTAACCCGATATGAATACAGCCTGCCACCAAAAAGAGCAGTACCTCCCTTAAGGCTCAATACCCTGCATGCCCTTGCTCTGGCACTTTATGTTCATTCTTCTAAGTGTCAAACTGGATAAGGGAACTGGTCTGACTGAGAACTTTTTGTTTTGGTGGTGTATTTTTTTAGCCAGTTAAATGCCTGGATCTACCCCACAAGAACAGTTATTTGTTTCAAAACCTAGGCCACAGGAACTTGCAGCTTATGGAAAAGAAAGTATCACCTGTTCCAGCAGCAAGCTCCACCTACTTCAAGTTAAAGTGATGGGAAAACTGCAGGCTTAAGCATAATTTTATTCCAAGGAATAAAAATACCACTTTATTTTGAACTTTGTGGTTTTATCTGAAAGAATCAAAACAAGTTGTTTCTGCTATTGATCCAACATGAATTCAAACAAATGTGTACAGGGCTTAACATGCATTAGATCACTGGTCCATACACTAAATGTCCAAATAAAAGCAACGTTTGGCTGCAGAAGAGTCCAGGCACACACCTTAGCTAACTGACAAATAAAACCGTCTTTAGAAATAATATTATTTTTGTCCAAATTTGTTCAGAGCTTTCCTTCTTCTATCATGCTTATCAATTTATGTAACATACAGCAACTTTAAGTCTCTTGCATAAAAGCTGTAATTAGGAATTAATCAATATGCTAATTAAAAGCCAAGCCATTCTAAAGTATCACCTCAATTCGCACCTCTTCAGGCATTCATTTAAAGAAATTCCTCTCAACACATAACTGCAAAATGTCTCCTGTTTTCCCCAACATTAGCAGATCATAATCCAGTGAGGCAAGTATGAGAATCCTAGTGACACCAATAACTCTCAATTGATTTATTTCATATTAATGCCCAGGTTAGGCAATCTTATTGTAGCAGCATCAGTATCAAATCCAATGGATACATGAGCAAGACACAGAAAGTAGATGTTGAATACCTCAGTTCTTGTTTACCTGCACATGTACACTGATCTACTTTGTTATTAGAACTTTCAGGGGAAAAAAAAAGCCCCACAGCTGAAATCAAGAACGTAGCTGGTAGCCAGAATTTCCATCCTTCCAACTTCACAACTCATAAAGTAATAAAAAGAGGCAAGGTACTGTTGGTGAAGGAGTGAACAGGATTCAGTAAGACTCCAATTTCTATTTGAAGTTTCAAGAGCTTATCCAGACTAAATCTCTCTGTAATTATCAACAATCTTCAAAAACTTTCATGAAAGTACATCTCTGACAAACAGAAGAGGGGAGCTTTTTTTATGCTTCTGTTTACTAATCCTCTTGGCAACCCTGCCTACTAATTACTATGATCTTGTATCATGTTATGGTTCTCTGCCTTTTAAAAACTGGACACGGCCGTTTCCTTCAAGCAGAATGTCACAAATCTCCCAGTAGCAGTATTACCTTAATTTTAGGCATAGCAGGTCAGCTCTTGTTTACCTGCACATGTACACTGATCTACTTTGTTATTAGAACTTTTAGGGGAAAAAAAAAGCCCCACAGCTGAAACCAAGAACATAGCTGGTAGCCAGAATTTCCATCCTTCCAACTTCACAACTCATAAGTAATAAAAAGAGGCAAGACTGACGCTCATCAGCACTCACAAACAATGTTATCTTTTTCCTGTTCTCAAAAAAATTCTAAGCGTTAACAGTTGTAATCAAACAGCTCATGGTTATCATCCTTCTGCCCTTCCTCCCTCAAACTCTGGTACCTTGTTGCTCCATATTTCACCTCCCACCCCCTGTCCTCCTGTGCCATACCCTCGCAGAAGGACTGCAGAAGGAACATAGCACCTTTTTGGGGTGCTGCTATGCACAGTCTTGGCTTCCATCTGCCTTCTGCAAAACCAAGAACAGAGACTGCACGGCTGTTCTAAGCTCAGTTTACATCAGCTGAGGAGAAAAAACGATCTTGGCCTATATGTAAACACATACCTAATTCTTGCACAGAGGACACATTTCAAAGCACTTTCTAAAATTGGTTAAACGGATTCAGCACTTATATGCAAACCACCACCAGGCAAAGGAAACAGAGGGAAACATTTCCCATAAGAAAGTCCATTTTAACATCAGCTTATCAAATCATGTTAAGTAAAAATGAAACTGAAGACCAAATAGTAATTTGGCGGGATACTTCTCTGAATGGAGTATCACTCTTCAATTACCTGTGCTTCCATTGTAAATCTATGCTACAAACATATTACGAACAGCCTAAAATATCTGGAAGAGGCCTCAAAAGTTTCAAATTTATTATGCAAATGAAAATATGATGATAATTCTCTCTCACTAACATATTTCAAGGACGTAATATAATTCCTAAAAACTATTTTCTGGAAGTACTGCATTTAGAGAGGGCCATCTAAAGCTACAATACCACCACCACGTATCTCACAGAGTAGTAATCCTTTAGATGAAAGTCTTTGTTATGGACACTCAACATTTTTAAGTCAACCAACTTTGAAAGCATTCCTTGCAGAACCTCTTTTAGAATGATACCCCTCTGTATTTTCTCCTTCTATTCACAGCAAAAACTTGAGTGAAGAAGATCTAGGCTTTCTATCAAGCAAAATTAGCGTCCAAAACCCATTCCCACTTTGGGTTCATCTTTCATATACTGTGTCTATTGATGGAGACAAGTCAAAATGCCCTGAAAGTCTGGTGCTCTCACCAAAGGTTTCCACATATTACTTGAACTTCCTTGAAGCATGGGCTAATCTCCATTTCTGGTCCCATGTTTGTCTTACTGGCTGTCTTACCTCAGATATATGGTCTGTTTGTATTTGGTATAACATGAACTAACCTGTATGGCCTTCCAGTGAAATCCATGCAATAACTACATTGACATAAGATGCCCTAACCCAGGACATGAGCTCACAAAGTGACATTAAAATAACTAAAATTTTGCAGTAGTTAGGACCCCAAAGTATCTGAAAATATCAATAAATGCTAGTGATAAGGCTCAGGTTCAGTGGAAGTAAAGTGCAGAAGATAAAACATGACATCATTACCCTTTCTATTAAAAAACACAAAAGAAATGTTCTTTGCCCAGTGTTAAGTCTCGTATTACATTGTCAGTAATTCAGAAGTTTTATTTGGTGGCAAAAGATCTAGTTTTCCCACAGAGACAAGCTTAAATGCCAGATACAGGGTTTTTCACTTGAAAATTAGAAAAACTGATGCCTACAAGCTCATAAAGCTCTGCAGAAGTAATCTGCAAGAATCTGTTATCAAAACCCAGAATATTCCAGCTCCCAGATTCTGAGAATATCCACAAATAATGCAAAATATTTTACAAAACAAATAGGTAAAAATATACATGCTGTGTGTGCATGTATATGAGGCAAAAAGCTCCAACAGCATCACATAAAACAACACAACTTTGCTGTGTTCCAAGTCAGATCAGTGTTCTCTTGCTTTTTCCAACTGAGATAAAGGTGAGACTATTTTAGCTAAAGAAGCCAACATTTACTACTAAAAGTACCTTTTGCTTGCAGTCAAAAATATGTTCTGTTACAGTAGTTTAATCTTTAACTAATTTATTTCAAGTGGGTGAGTTTCTTTGAATTTTTGCTTGCAAAGTAATCTGTCTTCCATCAATGAGAATCTGTGCAAATTATTAAAATAAAAAGGTTTTCAAAGCAATGCTGTTCCTTACTTCCTTCGTTTATATTTGACTTCAGGCTTATTTAATATGCTCCCATGTAGATAAAAGTAGCGCAATTTTGTTTTCATGCTGGGTGGCCAAAAGGTTAAACGTCAAGTTCCCAGTGTGGGAAAATCCCAAAGTAGACAAAACTGTTTTGATGCTTACTGAAGTTATATTTCTAGCAGACTACTTAGATGTAGTACAGCCAACAATCCTGTTAGTTGATCCTGCTTCACTGAGATAAGGACATTATTATATTAAAATATTTACAAGCATAGGAAGCTGGAATGTGTTTAAAATGCTGTAAAAAGGGCCCTGTTCAAATACAATTCTGTTACAGGAAATCCTTGGGGTAACAATATTTACCTGTAAGCACAGATATTCCAGAAATCCTCCAAAATAAGTATTACGCTAAAATATTTTCCAACAGTCCTTCTTACATTAGTTTCACATGGAAGTTACTTAACCTCTAGCAGTTCTTCAAGAAGCTTCAGTCAGTGTGTATATCCTGCTATACACGTCCATATGCTTCATTGCATGCAAGACTAAAACATACTAGTAGCTGGATCTGTCTGTCCCAAACATGTATTATCCTTTTTTAACATCTTGAGGAACACAGAATTAATGCTGAGACCTTCCTTTTCCTTCAGCATGGCTCTCACTACAGCTGGCTGGCAAGCAGTATCCTTCTCAGGATGATGACAGTGAGGAGCTTCAGATGTTATCAAAGAGCAAACCATCTTCCTACATTTGGCAACTGATCTATGACATGAAATGCACAATGCTTATGAGAAAAGGTTAGCTGCAAGTGGTTCTCGTAAAAATGATGCTTTACCCATCTCTTGGAACAGCATCCTTGTTGAGCAGGCAGGAGAATCTCCTCCCTAGGGGAGTTCGCCTTACTTTTTGGAGTTAAAGTCTTGTTATTCATTTCACAGAGATGGAAATACATGATGTAATCCACTTAGAAACGTGCTGCTACAAATAAACTTGACCTTTTGAGTATTTTCACAAAGAGAGAGTTTGACAGTACTGCTGAGGTACTAGGAAAAAAAACTCTGGAAACATCCGCAGTATGCAGTTTCCTTCTCCTGGAAATGAGTGTGCCTTCAAGAAATGTGATAAAGTACATATTCTGTGTCTGTCTTTCCCTGCCCCCCTTTTAATTCCTAAATCACCTCTGAAGGAAGTGATTCTCAGAGGATATTTCTTAAAAATAAATAGAGACCTGGAATACACTACCTTTACACAATGACAACATGATTATAGAAAAGATCTCTTTGGAGTGCAGAGAGGCATCATTGGTATTTCCAAGACCATTTTAATAAGCTTTACAAATGATACTGGAATTTTGGAAGTAAGGAACACGGAAGCAAGGAACTAGAAGCCAAATATTAATTCCTCTGAGGAATTCTGACACTGGATTATGTTTTTGTATAATTGTTGTATTTCTCTGAAAAATATCTGAACATGATACACAGTCGCTCCGACAAGGTAAATACTTCATAAGCAGTATGTTGGATCAGGACTCTTCTTGGGTCGATACTGTTCTCAGTTGTCAGTACAGAGAATCTGTATCAAAATAACAGTTCTTTCGAAGAGTTTCCTGCTCTGCATAAGCATCTCGTAGACTTTAAAGGAGCTCTCCCAGTCTTCACCAAAACCTTCAGATACAAAACCAGCAGCTCTGAGTGCAGACTTTTACTTTGGTTCTGAAATGTTATGTGGCAGCAACTCTGGAATTAAAACTGTTGCTTTATTATAGTGTCCAAGATTTTGCTCCAGGTAATCACATATAAACCCCTAGTGCTCAGAACTGGAATTATTCTCAGAAAGCATCTGGGAAAAGGGGATCCTGTAGGAAGCTGCCCTGGTTTCGGCAGGGATAGAGTTAATTTCCTTCCTAGTAGCTGGTACAGTGCTGTGTTTTAGATTTAGGGTGAGAACAATGTTGATAACACACCCATGTTTTAGTTGTTGCTAGGTAGTGTTTATACTAGTCAAGGACTTTTCAGCTTCCCATGCTCTACCGACTGAGAAGGCTGGAGGGGCACAAGAAGCTGGGAGGGGGCACAGCCAGGACAGCTGACCCAAACTGGCCAAAGGGATATTCCATACCATGGGACATCATGCTCAGTATATAAAGCTGGGGGAAGAAGGAGGAAGGGGGGGACGTTTGGAGCGGTGGCATTTGTCTTCCCAAGTAACCGTTACGCATGAGGGAGCCCTGCTTTCCTGGGGGTGGCTGAACACCTGCCTGCCGATGGGAAGTAGTGAAGGAATTCCTTGTTTTGCTTTGCTTGCGTGCACGGCTTTTGCTTTACCTATTAAACTGTCTTTATCTCAACCCACGAGTTTTCTCACTTTTACCCTTCCGATTCTCTCCCCCATCCCACTGTGGGGGGAGTGAGCGAGCGGCTGCGTGGTGCTCAGTTGCCAACTGAGGTTAAACCACGACAGGAGCTTAGCTTCATGCTGCTTCTGTAACAAATCTTACTCTCTACCAGAACACCTCCAATGATATGCTTGGTCAAGCAAGTATTTTTTTGTACTGGTTTGTACATGTACATGAGATTTGTCTGTTCAAAAAGTTTGCCACGCTGCTGACCCCATGTTGGTGACACATATCATAGCTTACTTGACTTCCAGCAAACAGCATCTTCTTATTCACCTGCACATAAATTCACAAATCTGTTGCTCATCAGGTTTCATACTGTAAGAGTTTAATAGAACAGGGAGAAAGATCTGCAGACCATTCTGACACTCTGTTTCTCTAGCAGATTCAAACATAGTTTTTTTCAGCTACTCTCAAATGATGTACCTCATTTCTGAACTGGCCAAGAATGGGAAGGTGCCCCATCATCTGTTTAATCATCAGTGGTAGTCCTGGAATCTAAAAGCCCTTTTAAAATGTATTGGTTCCATAAATACTAGAGCATCAGGAAATACTAGATGACAGCAGCAGGACAAAGCAACTAATTATCCAGGTATATATGATAACCTTATATTCTTAAATATTCCATCACTACTGCCAAGCATTATTTGGACTCAGTGATAGAAGCTGAAGTAACCTGTAGGGATACTAACTGGGCCCAGCACAACTCTCAAGATACTTTCACAGGCCATATGAAGATTATTTGGAAGCAGGTGACCTGCAAGAAGAGTTGTTCTTAGAAAGTCAAGACGTAAACTAGGTTAACCCCCCTTTTTTAGTATTTAGGAGGATCAGAAACCTATTCTGCTGTCTGCTGGAGCTGCCTAGATGAAACAAGGTAGACATTCCACTTATTACACTTTTACAAAAAATCATCTCAAGAAATAAGAAAGACATGTGGGAATTCAAAACTAGATATGTGCTTTTGGCTGGATAGTTAACTTTCTTCACAGTAGTTGGTATGGTGCTAAGTTCTGGATTTGTGACCAAATCAGCGTTGATAATACAGGGATGTTTCGGCTATTGTGAGCAGTGCTTGCACAGTGTCAAGGCTTGTTCTGCTTCTCACATTGTCCCACCAGCAAGTAGGCTGGGGGTGTACAAGAAGTTGGGAGGGGACACAGCTGGGACAGCTGACCCCAACTGACCAAAGGGATATTCCATAACATATGATATAGTGCTCAGCAATAAAAGCTTTGGGGACATTCAGAGTTAAGGTGTCTGTCTTCCAAAGTCACTATTACGCGTGATGGAGCCCTGCTTTCCTGGAGATGGCTGAACACCTGCCTGCCGATGGGAAGGAGTGAATGAATTCCTTGGTTTGCTTTGCTTGCGTGCGCAGCTTTTGCTTTGCTGTTAAACTGTCTTTATCTCAACCCACAAGTTTTCCCACTTTTACCCTTCCAATTCTCTCCCCCATCCCACTGCAGAGGGGTGAGTGAGCGGCTGTGTGGGGCTGTGTGGTGGCTACCAGCCAGGGTTAAACCCCAACAGTATGGATGAGACAGCCATAGGTATCTTGAATACTCTTGAACACTTTGAATATCTGAATACTTTACATTGTGATACTGTTTTCATTTATAAACTTACTTACTATGCATTAACCATTACAAATGAAATTATCCATCGTCAATTAATGTTTCTGAATGGACTTTTCTGAATGGAACGAAAAACTATGGGAGGACATAGATTTTGTTTTGTCCACATTAGACCATTTTAAATTTTTTTAAGAATCTCCAGCAACTCCACATTTTAAAGGAAAGGATTTCACGTTTTGCAAGGGGTGGTCACTTTGGTGTCAGGACTGGGCTTTTTTAGTGCTCGTTCTGTTAAGAAGTTATGAGCCTATGCAAACCCTCACGCAAAAATACTCATTTTGTTAGCCAAGTCGCCCAAAATTTCAACCTGCTCTGTGGTCATTCGAGGTCAGAGCCCCAGGGGTGATGCAAGAAATGTTCAGTATAACTGCTTCTACCAGCTCCTGTAGATCTCTATAGCAAGACATCGACAACAGAGACATCACCTGCTTCTTGCTTCCAATGATCCAAGTAGAAAGCACCTGGGAAAAGCATCCTGCTGGAGGAAAGATTAGGAAGAAGCATGCAAATGGAAATATTAGGATGAAGTAGAAAAGTTTGGGTTGCATGGAAGCGAAAAAAAAAAAAAGATGATGTTGGATAATTTGCCTTGGTGGAATGAAAAGTAGACTGAGACTGGAAATGAAATGGGGAGCTAGAGAAACAGGAAAGGGGTGTGGGGAGGACAAACCTAGAAAGCCCCAGAAAATGGTGTCAGACTTTGTCCATCAAGAGTAAAGGATAAATGCCTTTGACTCCTCCTTGACCTTCCAAAAGCAGCTGGAAAGGATCCCAAGATACTTGAGCCTCATCATTTTTTGTTGGTCAGTACATGATATAATTGTAAAAACCTCCTATCAAAATGTGCATCACATTTCCATCAAACTCATCTATACAGAAACTGCAGATTATCATTCTCCAGCCATTACTCCAAACACTCCAAACACACTCTGCAGTAGATACAGGACCCCCAACCTTGATCCTAGTAACACTGATACTAATATGACTTTTCATGACAGAATTTTCTACTTCAAACGTTATTATGTTTTTTAAACTGTTAAATTAAGGTTGTTAAGCTCAGCACTTAAAATTAAGAAGTAAAAAAGTTATTATCACTCAGCCTTCTAATAAAGGACGTTACAATACAATACCGTTGCACAATACCACGAATACCCTTCAATGCAATCCGAACACAGTATTTGCATCCTTTTTCTCCCCTAGAAGACACCTCTAGAGATGTTTTAGAAACCTGTAATGAAAAAGCTGGTGCTCATCACAGGTCTAGAGGGCAATCATAAATGGAGTACAGATCGCACATGGAGCTCATGGTCAAACTACTCTTGGCAGTTCACCAGCTTGATCTGGTCTCAAACTGTGGTCTTTTCCCAAAGACCACACAAGCCCTTCTGCAGCACGACAGTCAATAATAAAAAAAGCACAGCAACCCACTACCTTGGACCAAAAATTCCACAGCTATTTGAGCCTCATTTTGGGGGGGCCTGAATTAAAAGGATGTTTTTTCAGGAATGCTGAGCGCTCAGATCTGCAATTTGAAATCAGTAAGACCACTCATTCAAAAATAAAAAATTGCAACAAAAAGGTAAGTATTCTGAGATGTCAGTCTGTGCATTTAGTCTAGCCACTGAAACTTGAGTGGACATATTTCAACTTAATCTTTCAAATTTTCTGCTATCCAAATGGGAAACAGAATTAATTACAGCCTCTTTCCACATAGGAGCATAAAACCAAGCACGTTAATTTTTTTCTTTCCCTTTTTTCCCCCGGTGTTTGTCTTCGAAAAATAGTCTATATATACATAGAAGATATATTTTATACTTGTTTTTATTTTACTCTGATTCAAATATAACCTTAATTCTGACTCTGCACCCTCAACACTTTTGTAATGATGCATGTGAAAATTCATAATTACACATCACACTAAATTTATTGACTTTTCAAGGGTGCAGCATTTCTCACTCAAAATAAGAGTGAGAATTAAGACTGGGCAAGTAAAACAATGTAAAAGTTCTGTCAAATCAAAACAGTATGAAAGGCTGAAAGAGTTTGTCTTTGGTCCTCTGTGCCATAGAGACACACTCAAGACAAGGACATGGAATAATCAAAAATACCTGGCTCAACTTCCCTTCATAAAGGATGTTGCCAACAGAATCTGCTTTTTGGCTAACAACTCAGGGCAGAAGGGCTAACAACATTCATACTTAAGCCCAAGGCCTCCATCGCAAAAAATGCAGATCCTCTTCCCAAACATATTGTATGATAAACTTGATCTACAGAAAGCAGGCCATTTGCACCACTGATTTCCAGTCTTAGCAGATACCATACTGACAAACCACCTAATCATGGCTCTTGACATTTTTAGAAATACCTAATTTTTTAATTAAAAAAACCCTATCATTACCATATGTTACATATGGCACTGTGCAGGATTTTCTCCCTATCACATGAAACTTCATTTTCCAGGTCACTTCAACTGTTTTTTGTTACCCATCGTTAGTTGACCAATGTTTTCACTGAATTAGTCAACTGAAGCATTACTTATTTGCACCAAGTGCTATGCTATCACTTCTTATGAAGCTCTGCATAAACCTTTCATTCCACAGAAAATTTTACATTAAAAAGAGAATTGTCCTAAATATAAAGAAGACGAACACAGGCTTGGCACTATCAGTAGCGGTTCAATTTGCAAAGTAATACTTTCTATTAAAGAAAAATTTCATTAGGACCGCTCCAGAGACAAAGAGCAGAGTAGGATGCCCACAGTTTACATCCTGAGGCGCAGCGAAGGCGTGCCAACGCCTGCTGCCCACCACGACGTTTCAGCGACAGCTCTTCTCTCCTGATGGAGGATGGGTGACAAGCTCCTGCCTCTGCCCTCGTCTCCCGGGGTACCTGCCCGCGCAGGCTGCCTCGCCTCCCAGGCCAGGGGCCGGCTCCACACAGGGTCACCTCTGCGCGACAGCCCCGGGAGCGGCTCCGCCGCCGCCAGCCGCCGCCTCGCAGAGAC